TTGTTATCATAAACCATTGCATTCCCAGGTGGCCCATCAGCCACAACCCAATCCAATATTAGTGCTCGGTCAGGAACAACAACTAAAGAATAATACAAAGAAAGAAAGAAACCTTCAAATGAGTACCACAATTCACAAAGCCACTCAGAGAACTAAATAGAAAAATATGTACTACCTCCGTCCCAAAAAATACTTCCCGGTTTGACTGGGCACGCTTATTAAGAAAGTGGAATAAAGTGGAAATGTATGATTGTAGTTGTGTAAGAAAAAGGTAAAATGAATGTGAGCCACACAAATTGTCCAAAAAGGGAAAGTGGGAAGTATTTTTGGAACAGCCCAAAAAGGAAAGTGGGAAGTATTATTGAGACGGAGGGAGTAGTATATAATATTGACTCAATTTATGACGTCAGTAGTTATAGCTCTAAGAAATAAAACAATTCAACTTTATGCCAGAGATAATTATAGCTCAAATAAATAAAAGAAGTGACTCGGCTTGTACTGGAAATTATTAAAGCTCCATGAGAAAGCAAACAACTGACTCAACTTACGCTGTAAGTACTATAGCTTAAAAAAATACATAAAATGACTAAACTTATAATGGAAGTAATTATAGCTCCCAAAAAAATCAATTGACTCAACTTATGCTATAAATAATTATAGCTCCAGAGATAAAAGAATTGACCTAACTATGCTGTAAAGTATTTAGCTAAAAAAAAGAATTGACTCAAAAGTTCTTGCTCAAGCAAACTTTCATAAGCATAAACATGCTGCGATTTCAAAAAAATATACACACCATCAGCATACCACCAATCACCATCCTTCCTTTCAGATCTAGAAAGACGTGTAACAATAGATACACCATTCTTCCAATTATCATGTCCACCATGAATCCATATTTCCATAGCATGGGAAAGAGGGCCCGAACTCTTCTTATAGTGTAATCTAATACTCCCCTCCCTTTCGAGATCCTTACGAGTGATAAACCAGTTGTCACCACCACCAGACTTTAGGACCTTATCAATTGCTTCCTCCAAAATTTTCCTTCTCTTTGCAACCTCTTCTCTTGCCTTTGCTCTATCATCTTCACTTGCAATCTTTTCTGCTTCTATTCTTCTCATTTCTTCAGCCTCTCTTTCCCTTTGAGCTTTTTCTCTGGCCATTTTTTCTATTTCTTTCTTTTTTTCCTCGAGCAAGAAATTTTCAAAGTCTAAAGCACTTATACCGTCTTTTATAGTTATAGAGAAGTCTTTCTTATTGTTGTTTTCGTATACATCTTTCCCATTGGAAAACACAAAATGAATGTTGAATGCTTCTTTGGGAACGTTAAGTTTGCAAGACCACCAGTCTCCATTCAAATCTGTCTTCTTAAGATTCATGGTAAAAGAGCGCCAACGCCAGTCATTAAATCCTCCAGTGATTATTACATCAGGCTCATTTTTCAAAGTGGAGAGACTTTTGTTAAGAAATATTTCTACTTCTTCATCGGGTTTTGCCTCCTCAGGATAACAGAAAAAAATGTTCTTTCCCTTGGAAAGCCTTTCTACATCTTGTCTTCTTAGATTTGCTTCCATCTCTAGCTTTAACTTTAGAGAATGATCCTCTGAACCTACCTCATCTAGACCATCACCTTCCAAAGGTGTTTCTTGCAAATTCTTGAAATCAAAACTTTGATTATCTAAATTGCTTGAATCAATTCCATTCAATAAGACCTTGGTGCCTACTCCATTATTTGGAAATTGACTTAAATCGTGAAATTTATCTTGTTCTTCACTTTCCTCTACTCTTTCAACTCCTTGAATTTCATTGTCTCTGTCATCAAGCTTGGTATCTATCTTTTTCTTGAACAGAACTTCGGATTCTTTGGATGTTGAAGTTCTTTGACTTTCTTTTTCATTCTTGTTCTTCTGATCCCTTCTTCGGTTACCCATTCCAGCTGCTGTTCTTGATGAAAACCCCCTAGGGGAGGACCCTTGACTCCTTGGAGTTGAAACCTTTTTCTTTTTTCTCGAAAAATCTTCTATAATAAAAAATGAAAAAGTAGGGTTACCATTGAATTTGTCTTAGTTAAAAGGGGAATCAATTTTTTTATTTACATTATAAAGCATACTAACAAAGTAACAAACCTGCACTTGCACAAATATAACGTGGAAAACCTCCCGCCACTTGAACTTTGTTCTGAGAAGACTGCATGAAATGCAGACGAGAAAGGGAGACACATAGAAAAGAAAAGAAAATCATTACAGTTAAGAACTGCATTAAAAGGCTTAGTGTCAAAATCCCCTTTTTAGCCATTAACTAGCAAAGTGTTAAGCTAGAGAAGTGTTAAGTTAGGTTCCAGTAAAGGTGTAGAGAGTAGCAGTATCACCCTTCAAGAGAAGAATGAGCGGGAAAGCTCCCACAACCTCATTTAAAGGTTCTATGACTTGTATCTGTCAAACCCATAGCATTCACTTTAACCTTTCACTACACATTTCCCGCCCGGAGCTTAGTTCTAGTTTTTTATGAAAAAAAACTCAAAATTTTAGGGAGTTCCCAATTTGAATCAACTATTGAAATTGGTTGCATTTGGGATCTATCAATTTCAGTTGCTCCAAACATGATTTTTTTGTTATCTAATTCCTAGATATGCAATTTTCAGTATTCCAATTCCGACCACAAAAGCAATCTAAACAAGTCCTTAAAGTTACAAAATAGACAGTCTTGGCAACTAATTGCAATCAAGAGTCAGGACTGAACCAACAGAGCATTGACCCCTTAAGTTTAGGTATACAAAACACATAAATCAGTAAATGGGCATGATCAGTGAACAATGACAAGACTATGGAGAAACAACACAAAACCAATGAGGAAAAGGAAGAAAAAATTACTTGTGCTGATAGAGTGGTGCAGCCATGAGGGAAGAACCCAAGGAAAGGTTTAATCTTGAAAAAAAGATTGGCTTGTGCTTTCCTACTGAGGATTGTTGTTCTTGAACCCAGAGGTTTCTGAATTGGCAAAGGTACTTCCATGGCTAGCCTCTCCCTGAACAAAAAAATGCTAAGGCCTTCCCTTCTTTTTCGTTTTGATTTCTTATGCTGGCATATTCACACACCACTCTACTCGTGTTTATCACTTTATCTCTCTATTAATTTAGCTGTTTTTTTTGTTTTTGTTTTTGTTGTTGTGTTAACGATGGGTGTTTGAATCAATGACTGTATCATCTTAATAATTCAGAGGTAAGAATGAGGTGGTCAGTGTCTTGCATAAAATAAAATAAAATAATAATAAAATAAAATAAAATAAAATAAAATGAATAAATAAAAAAATGAATAAATAATGAATAAATAATGAATCTATAATTTGGTCTGCAACCTGGCGATCACAATCACGAGTCCCAACCCAACCCTTGGAGGCACAAGGAGTGTACTCTTGGATGTAACGAAGTGCAACTTGTTAAGGTGTGTACTTATATGGAACTGACGGCTTATATTGTTCGATTGATTTTGCCTGGGAGCCACTCGCTTATTACGAGATTATTCTATTCGAACACAATTCCTCCCGTCAAATTAGCAAATTGGTAAAAGTATTTCACACCCAAAAATTGACCAACTTATTGCCGATTATTCTTTTATTTATTTACCAATATAAGTCACGGATGTGAATATGTGATTATGAGGCACTTTTACTTCTTCACTTAAAACTCCTAACTTTTTCATCAAACATGTAACTTTTGTTTTCACGCGCAATTGTGTAATAATAAGAAAAGGTAAAGTTGAAATTATTTTTATTTGACTGTATTAGCCGAAGTTACTGTAGATGATCATTTTAGCTATTTTTACATATAATTTCTTCTTTATTTTATTAATAAAATACTCTCTCCATCCTACAAAACTTGGCCAAAGTTGATTGACACGTAATTTATTAAAGTAGAAACTGTGTGGTTGAAATCTGTGCATAGAAGAGTGAAATAATTTTAGCCGCATATTCCTTACTTTAAATGGAAATAGCAAAATATATTGGGACGGTCAAAAAAGAAAATTTGGCCAAGTTTTATGGGACAAAATTTGGCCAAGTTTTATGGGGAAAAAGGAAATTTGGCCAAGTTTTATGGGCCAAAAAAGGAAATTTGGCCAAGTTTTATGGGACAAAAGGAGTTTAAATGGAAATAGCAAAATATATTGGGACGGTCAAAAAAGGAAATTTGGCCAAATTTTATGGGACAAAAGGAGTATATCTTAATTCTTTTTTTCTTAAATCAGCAAAACCAGCCAATGCAGCTACTTCAGCCAGAACTTCATAAATTTCAGCAAAATCAGTTGAATCAGCCGATTTTCATGTTACCAAACGGGCTCCTAGTCTCCTAAGTAGGGTGAATTGTGAGGTTGAAATATTTAGTCCTTGATTTTGTCATGATAAGTATGACTAAAAACGTCAATGAGAGTGTTTGACAATCACGGGTTGACTGTTATCTATTAGCCAGTTGAATAAACAAATTCTCTTAGTTGTTTTGACTCACAACTTTCATTAGCAGTTTGAAGTAAAATGTTTGATAACTTAGTTGTTTGAATTAGCAGTTAAGACGTAAAATGACCATTGAAGATGTTGGTTTTATGGGGGATCAACATTATGCTTTGATTCAGACCCTAGCCACTTGATTGCACTCGGCCTGCTGGCACCACAATGTTGTATAGCCCCTCATGTACATCCTCGCGCAGTAGTGATCGAGGCTATGCACTGAATTATGAGGGGTCACTAGTAGAAAACTGTCTTATAGTGACACTTTATTAGTGACACTTTCTGATAAAGTGTCACTATTACACGACATATAGTATTAACAACGCATAAGTGTCATACATATATGACACAAAAACATCAACAAGTGACACTAAATAAAAAAGTATTGAGTTTTAACCTTAACAAATATTTACTTTTAGTTTCCCTCCCAAAAATATACTTCCCGCCATCTATTTTTAGTAACCCCACAACAAAACTTTATTTCCTTAGCAAAAATTTCCGATCGACTTATTTTTTCCCCCAAACTAATTAAAGTAATAAGTGACAAGTCCAAATAAACACCTTATAGTTCCTTGCTCTATTCATTCTTCGAAGAAACCCGACCATAAGCATAGAACCCTAAATACACTGATGTCGATCGATTCGATTCGCTTCTCTGCTAAATACCATCGCCGCTGCTGAAGGCTGCGAAGAACACCACAGACGGCTCTCGATCGTCAGGTAGCTTGGGGAGAACATCATCGGCACGGTCAATCTCCATCTTCTGCGAAGAACACCACCGACGGCTCTCGATCGTCAGGTAGCTCTTCTCCATCTGGTTTTTGGTTTTGGTGTATGGGATGTGATAGGCCTGGGAGTGAGTTAGTTTCAGTATGACCTGGGTTTAGGTCAGTGAGGTTGATATAAGGTTTGATGTTGGGGGATTTGGGAAGCTTGAGGGGGTGACAGTTTCTGTGTTTCCTGGGTTCGGGGTTTGGGCTTTGGTTTGGGGGATCTGGGACGCTTGCTTGAGGGGGATTGTAAAACTGTAGAGAGGGAGTTTGGGATGTTTCAGGGAGTTTGAAGTGTTCTAGAGGAATATGGGAGTGTTGGGGTTGGGTTAGGACTTCAGATTATTGGATGGATTACAGGATGGATTTCAGTTTCTATTATTGTTATTATTGGATGGATTATGGTCTAGCAGATAAGGTCTAAAGATTTCAGTTTCAGTTTCTATGATTTGTGATTCTAAAGATAAGGTCAGAATTAGACAATGCTAGGATGATAGAGAAGCATCAATTCCCGGCACTAGCAGAGTCTATGTGTGAGTCTGGGATGACATATTTTCAAGGACTATATTTGTTTTGGGAGGGAAGTATGTGTACTTCAAAAAATGAGAGTCTATAATACGATAATGAAAATAAAAACGACTGCTTAAGTGATTTGTGATTTGTGGTTTCACTTTCTGAGAGTCTATGCTCTTCTCCCGCATAGACTCTACTATTTAAGTTGCTGTTTAATACGATAGTAGATTCTTTTATTATTAGCCGGTTGTTTTTGGATGTTATAATTGTTTTCCTTCATAGTGACAGTTTCTTCTCAAAATCGTGGATAAGCTCTTTAATATTTGGATGGAACTTACTCCTTTTAACCTTATACTATGTGAAAAGAAGCTCACTGCTTATATCCTAAAGCTACTGCAGTTTCACTTTATTAGTTTTACTACAATTAATATCTCACCAAACTTAAGGAACCATCTTTATCATTCAACAGAGTACTGAAAGTTTTTGTTTGATGAAGATTCTTTAAATTCAGTGGAAAATTCATTGGAAGAGAGGTCTGCAAGTTTGATTTAAAATGAAATCTAATTTGCTTTTAAACTAGTTTGATAATTCTCCATCTTTGAACACATAACATTATTAGTAACACAAATGCACTAGAGATCAGTAACTTTTTATCAATATTGAAGATATTTAGCTATTAAATTCTTTTCATATAATCTGTAGAAGAAATCATCTAAGTATATGAGATAAACACAAACACTTCTTATGGCTTACATAAAAGTACTACTTTTTTAATGTAGTTTTCCTAATTTGCACTTCAGGTGTTAAGGTTGAGATTGTTGTTTTCCTAATTTGCAGAATCTCCAAAGGCTTCTTTTAAGATCGGATCTATGGATTGACTGTCCAAGCACACACGGTCTACAAATATTTTGTTTTAGCTAACTTATAACTTTCTCAAGAGGTATGTTTCTGAAATTGTCTATCTGGTGCTAAAAATTCAATACATTATTTGGTTAATTTTTGAACTGATTAACTCATTACCATGACTGTATGTTTGTATATGATCGAAATGATTGCATGACTAAACCTTTCTGGTGCTCAAATTAAAATTCAGTCTAGCTAGTATGTACACTTGGGAAAACACATCTACTTTTGTAAAGTACTCAAGGCTCAATCCTTGAAGTACAGTCATATGTGGTCTTCAAATAGTAAAAATAAAACACTCAAGACTAAATTGAATAATATTTGTGGTCTATAAATTAGTAGTAATATATAAAAAACAAAAAAGCGCTATGTAGGATGTATTTTATTTTATTTGTAAAAATGATTAGTTAAATGTGACAAATTGGAACTCAATTATCAGGTAACATTCAAATGGAGAAATCATGGATAAAGAATGACAATAGGTTGTCTGAAGAATACACAGTTAATGAAAATAACTGTACTATGAAAATAAAAACGACTGCTTAAGTGATTTGTGATTTGTGGTTTCACTTTCTGAGAGTCTATGCTCTTCTCCCGCATAGACTCTACTATTTAAGTTGCTGTTTAATACGATAGTAGATTCTTTTATTATTAGCCGGTTGTTTTTGGATGTTATAATTGTTTTCCTTCATAGTGACAGTTTCTTCTCAAAATCGTGGATAAGCTCTTTAATATTTGGATGGAACTTACTCCTTTTAACCTTATACTATGTGAAAAGAAGCTCACTGCTTATATCCTAAAGCTACTGCAGTTTCACTTTATTAGTTTTACTACAATTAATATTTCACCAAACTTAAGGAACCATCTTTATCATTCAACAGAGTACTGAAAGTTTTTGTTTGATGAAGATTCTTTAAATTCAGTGGAAAATTCATTGGAAGAGAGGTCTGCAAGTTTGATTTAAAATGAAATCTAATTTGCTTTTAAACTAGTTTGATAATTCTCCATCTTTGAACACATAACATTATTAGTAACACAAATGCACTAGAGATCAGTAACTTTTTATCAATATTGAAGATATTTAGCTATTAAATTCTTTTCATATAATCTGTAGAAGAAATCATCTAAGTATATGAGATAAACACAAACACTTCTTATGGCTTACATAAAAGTACTACTTTTTTAATGTAGTTTTCCTAATTTGCACTTCAGGTGTTAAGGTTGAGATTGTTGTTTTCCTAATTTGCAGAATCTCCAAAGGCTTCTTTTAAGATCGGATCTATGGATTGACTGTCCAAGCACACACGGTCTACAAATATTTTGTTTTAGCTAACTTATAACTTTCTCAAGAGGTATGTTTCTGAAATTGTCTATCTGGTGCTAAAAATTCAATACATTATTTGGTTAATTTTTGAACTGATTAACTCATTACCATGACTGTATGTTTGTATATGATCGAAATGATTGCATGACTAAACCTTTCTGGTGCTCAAATTAAAATTCAGTCTAGTATGTACACTTGGGAAAACACATCTACTTTTGTAAAGTACTCAAGGCTCAATCCTTGAAGTACAGTCATATGTGGTCTTCAAATAGTAAAAATAAAACACTCAAGACTAACTTGAATAATATTTGTGGTCTATAAATTAGTAGTAATATATAAAAAACAAAAAAGCGCTATGTAGGATGTATTTTATTTTTTTTTGTAAAAACGATTAGTTAAATGTGACAAATTGGAACTCAATTATCAGGTAACATTCAAATGGAGAAATCATGGATAAAGAATGACAATAGGTTGTCTGAAGAATACACAGATGGAGTCAATGATTTCATAAACTTTGCTATGCTTAACTCCGAAAACCGTAGATCACTTAGATGTCCCTGTAACACGTGTTGCAACATGGACTTTCACAGTCCTGAAAAAGTTAAAGTCCATTTGCTTAAATATGGTTTTCTGAATACGTACCTTGTTTGGAATTGGCACGGGGAGGTTGAAAAAACATCATTTTCTTTTCACTCACAGTCAGCACTTCATGATCAAAGCCAACTTGAGGACATGTTAGGTAACGTTTTTGAACAATTTGGTAGTCACCCAAAGAATTTTAGGGATGTAGTTGAAGATGCCGAAAAGCCATTGTACTCAGGTTCAAGTTATTCGAGGTTATCCGGGTTAATGTTGTTGTATAATATAAAGGGGAAATATGGGTGGTCTGATCAAGGATTCACAGCTTTGTTAGAAGCTATTTCAAACTTATTACCCGCAGAAAACACCATTCCGAAATCTATGTACGAAGCTAAGAAAATACTGAAAGTGTTAGGGCTAGGCTATCAGAAAATACATGCTTGTCGAAATGACTGCATTCTTTTCCATAAAGAGCACGTTGATCTTGACAAGTGCCCAACATGTGGAGAGTCTAGGTGGAAGGAAAAAAAAAATGGAGCTATAACAGCTATCAATAAAATTCCAGAGAAAGTTCTTTGGTATTTTCCTCCCATTCCTCGGTTTAAACGTATGTTTCAGTCACCAAAAACCGCTGAATACATGACATGGCACGCAAACAAACGCATCAAAGATGGCAAACTGCGCCATCCAGCGGACTCTCCTGCTTGGCATCATATTGATAACACATGGCCTGATTTCGGTGTAGAGTCTAGGAATCTAAGATTAGCTCTTTCAAGTGACGGAGTTAATCCACACAGTTCCCTTAGCTCTAGATATAGTTGTTGGCCCGTTCAGTTAGTAGTTTATAATCTTCCTCCTTGGTTGACTATGAAGAGAAAATTCATGATGTTGTCTCTATTAATATCTGGACCTAAACAGCCGGGCAATGATATAGATGTGTATCTAAAGCCCTTGATTGATGACCTAAAAACCCTCTGGAATGATGGAGTAGATGTTTATGATGGGTTTAGAAATGAAACCTTCAACTTAAGGGCTGTATTGATGTGGACGATTAGCGATTTCCCGGCATATGCCAACTTGAGTGGGTGTACTGGAAAGGGGTATTACGCATGTCCAGTTTGTGGTCCTTCAACCTCCTCAACCTGGCTAAAATGCAGTAAGAAGTGTGCTTACATGGCTCACCGTCGTTTTTTGCCTCATGATCACAAATTCAGAAATATGAAAAAATTGTTCAACAATGAAGTTGAAAGAGAAGGACCTCCTGCAACCTTGTCGGGTCAAGATGTCCTTAAATTGGTGGAAGATATTAATTATAAGAGTGGAAAGCGAAAGGGAGTGAAGAGAAAGCGTACGAAAAAGAATGAAGACATGAAAAATAAATTGTTTAAAAGGAAATCATTTTTTTTTATTTGGATTATTGGCAACATTTATTAATCCGACATCTCTTAGATGTGATGCACATTGAGAAAAATGTGTGCGAGAGCATCTACGGGACGTTACTTGATCAATCCACAAAGACAAAAGATGGCATTAAGGCTCGGAATGATCTTCTTCATATGAAGATTAGGAAAAAGTTAGTTCCCGATGATAGTTCTAATTCCTTACCTCTAGCACCATACACCTTGTCCAAAGAAGACAAAAAAAAGTTCTGCCAAACCATATTGGATATCAAGGTTCCAGATGGTTATTCTTCAAATTTGAAAAGCATAGTGTCTGAAGATGACAATCTTCTTCAAGGTCTTAAATCACATGACTGCCATACCCTGATGCAACAAATTCTTCCTCTAGCCATTCGTAACTTGTCTCTCTCAAAAGATGTTACCAATTCTATAACAGAGATGTGTCTATTTTTCAATTCATTATGTGAGAAGGTGTTGGATAATGATGCACTTGACATACTAGAGGCTAACCACTGGGTTACATTATGTCGTTTGGAGCAATATTTCTTGCCTGCGTTTTTTGATATAATGGTTCACTTAACTGTTCATCTCGTTGCCCAAGTCCGATTGTGTGGACCAGTTTACCTATGCTGGATGTATCCTTTTGAACGATTCATGAAGTTTTTAAAAGGTTATGTGCGTAACCATTACCATCCAGAGGGATGCATGGCTGAATGCTATGTGGCAGAGGAAGCGTTAGAGTTTTGTGCTGAATATCTTTCAAATCATGAGGCAATTGGATTACCTGTGCATTCCGGTGAGGATGGGCCACCTGAAAGGCCGGTAGGACGTGGTGACACGCAGACTGTTGATTCCTCACTACTTGAGCAAGCACATCGTACCGTGCTGTTTAATACCCCTGAAGTCCAACCTTATATACAGTATGGCTTAACTTTTATAAAACTTACTTAATTTTCCTTCACTTCCATATTTAATGATTTTTCTAATATTAAATGATAGGGAACACATGGATATATTACAGTCACAGGATATTGGTTGTTGTGAAACGGAGCATTATCGTACATTTGTTAACTGGTTTGACGAGAAGGTTGATAAATCTAACCTTATTTATATACATAACAAATAATAAGAGTCAAATGTACTTAAAATTTAATATTTCTTTGTAGGTTTGTGTTGATGTTGCGAATGGTGTAACTGTCACTGAAACAGTGAGGTGGTTAGCTAAGAAGCCTAACACAACAGTGACAATATACTCAGGCTATAATATAAATGGTTTTTCCTTTGCAACCAAGGATCGAGATTCAAATCGGGTAACACAAAACAGTGGTGTTAGTCTCGTAGCAGAAACTGTTCAAGTTTCCAGCTCCAAGGATAAAACTCCTTGTTTAGCATCGATGAATTATTATGGGGTCCTTGATGAGATTTGGGTCTTGAACTATCTAATGACTAAGAGAGTTGTTTTCAAGTGTTCTTGGGTAGATAGTAGGCATGTGAAAACTGACAAGTTGGGCTTCACGGTAGTGGATCTTAATAAGATAGGTCAGAAAAATGATTGTTTCATTTTAGCTTCCCATGCCAAACAAGTTTTTTATGTGAGAGATCAAGTTGATCCTAAAAAATCAATAGTGTGTTCAGTTGGGCAGAAGGTTAGTAATGGTATGGATGTTGACAGTGATGAAATGATATTACACGAACCTTTAACTTCACAATACCCAAACCATTTTAACGATGTGGAAGCTGAAGATGATGATCAAATTTATCATAGGATTGACATTGATGCAATTCCAGTACTCAATGAGTCTCAATTACCCTGATTTATGTACTTCGTTCAGTAAGTTATAAGCATACTGGAATCATTCTTCTGTTGTGATTCATTACTTTTTTTTATTTTCAGTTATTAAATAGTAACCGTATTTTTGTATTATATATCTACAGGTGAAAGCAAGCCATGTCAAAGAATGAAGAAGTCATGGATGCTTTTGATGTGGACGAAGGGTTGTATGATAGGGGCCAACGCCCTAAAAGGAGACAAAAGACAAAGAAGAAAATGCTGCTAAAGAAATCTGCAGATGATAAGGTGGTGGTAAAGGTGAATAGGTTTGGTGTTCATGCAGGTAAAGAATGGACAGAGCTGGCCAATTATATTGGTGTCTTAGTGCGGGATCATGTTTCCATAGTGCATGATGAATGGAGGCATGTGGCAGTTAAACTTAAAGACGAAATGTGGAATCATCTTAAGGTAATAAATAATGTTTGTAGAAAACAAGGCTATATTTCAGTATTTAAACTCTTAATCTACTAGAGGGCTAACAACGTTATATTAAATTGTATGTAGGAATTGTTCGTGTTGAGTGAGAATTCAAAAAAGCATGTCTTAGCTACTATGAGTGTAGCTTTTAGAAATTTCAAATCTGAGTTGCGAACTGACTTTATCTATCAACATGAGCATGAGCTGGAGAAGTTAGCATTACCTCCCGAGGAGTACAAACACATTTCGGATAAAGAATGGAAGTTATTTGTGAAGAAGACTTTCTCTGAAGAATTTGTGGTAAGTTATACTCCTACTCAAGATTTTGTGCCAAGTTACACACCTACACTTTGAGTATTGCTTTGTTTCATTTCAGGAGAAAAGCAATAAAGCGAAAGAGCGCCGAAAAAAGCACAAATTGAACCACCGATTGGGTTCTACTGGATATGGAGGCTTGCTTTTAAAGAAGGTTTTTCATCAATGAATATCAATAACTATTATTATAACAATATATAGTGTTGAGCTACTTATTCGTCCATTATATTACTGTTGAACTTATTCTTCTTCTAACTTCCAGCAAGAAGAACTTGGAGTCAATCTGGAAGACATTGATCGTTGTGATACATGGTTGCTTGGCAGGAAAAGAAAAGATGGGACCTATGATGATGATGTCAAAGAAGTGGCAAATGAAATAGTAAGTGTTACTTTATTTTTCCTATTTAAAAATGTTAAAGTAGAACTTCTTTAACAACTAACTTCATTCCCTCAACCTTTGTTTAGGAGGACCTGAAGCGCAAAGTACAGGAGGGGTCGTTTGTGCCTAGTGGTGATGCTGATGTTCTTTCCACTGCTCTTCAGAAAAAACCCAATGGCAGTAGAGTTCAAGGGTTGGGACACTTCATAACCCCAACGCAATACTTCCACAAGCCAAAAGAGACAAGAACTGATCGCGAAAAGGAGCATGAGATGTGTGAGCAAAGGTACAAGATGATGGTTATGAAGTTTGAAGAAATGAGGACACAAGTGTCGCATGCCATAAGTGAAATTGGAAGTTCAAGTATTCCCAACAAATCTCCTATTGTGAAGGTATACACACATTCTTCTGTTTTGAGTATTCCCAACAAAGGTTTATTTTCACCATAGACTACATAGTGAAATATAGTTAAATAGACAAACTGGTGCTAAATACACGTTGATATGGATATGGTATATATTTCTAAATGATACTAGTAATAAGTAACATATGTGTTTGTATATATTTATATCATTGATAGGCTGCTGGAGAGGTAGATCAACCAAAACTTACTCCGGTGAAGAGACGTCGTGTTACTGTCCCCAGGAGCTCCCCCCCAGACAGCTCCAAGAATAAGGAGCCCAAATCAAATGAGAGTGAAGAAGAAGGAGATACAAAAGGAAAGCGAAAGGTACATAAATCCAATGTGTTTTTCAATATTATTTGTATCTCTAATATTATCCTGATGTTGATAAATTAATTACAATAGCTTTCCCTAATAAGGCATTAACGGTATGCATATATGGCGTCTATGTTTATGAAGTTATTAACCTATTAATCTTCTGAATTTTGGTTATAAAGGCAACTGAAGTGCCAAAAGAACAAAAGTTGACTCCCCAGAAAAAACATCTTGCAGCAGTTTCAAGAAGGTCCCCGCGATTCATGCAAATGAAGAATCTTCCCGAGGAGAGTGTAGTTAGGGCAGCTAACAACACATGCATAAGTGAAGCATCACGAGAACAGGTTGTAGTTGAACTAGGTGGTACTAAAACAAAGGTATTATTTAAGCATATTCTTTATAATATAATAATCCGAAATTATGTTTTTTTACATTAAACTATGTGTCATAACTGTGGAAACAAAAGATTATTTAATCATCTTCTAAAATGTATTTTAGGTTGAACCTCCTCACCTCAAGGAAGAAAGCATTCCAAAGATGATTGAAGTTGAAGCTGGAGGTGTTGTAGTTGTTAAAGAACATGGAAGGACTAAGATGAAGTCAAAGCAACCACCGGCAAGGAAACTAATTATGCAAAGAACTACAAGGTTTGCTGCCGAAAAAAGAAAAGAGAAAAGCAATAGCATGAAGATGTTTTCTATGCTAGTTGACAAATGCCTAGGAGATGGGTACTTGGTCGAACATGATGCTGAAATATTCGGGTTTGCAACTAAATCTATTTTCAATAAGCAAGTGTGCGACCTTGTAATCAGCTTTGAGCAGGTGAACAATTCTGTTGTAGAAATCTGGTGTAGGTAAGTTTGATTTATATTTTATTTAAGTTATCCATGCTGAAAATTATCATTACTGGTTAATTTTGTTTTTTCATTGATAGTTTTTCAGCTCTATATGAATAAACTTCATGCGATTTTTTTCATTCAATGTGTAGGCACTTATATGAGAAGATGCTTGAAGATGGAGGTAATATGCCAGTTCAATTTGGCACGTCTGCTGCAGTACCAGTACCATTGAAACCCTCAGATGAGTCCATTACAAGGAGGTCTCGCTATATAGCAGATCTTTTGGGTGTTGGTTTGCCTGGACAAATCACACTAATCCCTTATAATACATGGTAATTACGATGGTTAGAAGTATTACACTAAATCTTTTTTTGCTACTGATTTGTATCCTTTTATTTCAACCTGGAATTTTTTACAGCAATTGATTAAATTTATAATATAACGTGTAGCAATCATTGGGTGTTGGTAGCCATTGATGTTGTGGCATGGACAGTGTACTATTTGGACTCAATTGGAGAGAATCCATCAGAAGATCTGTCACCAATTGTGAACCAGTTAAGTTATCTTTGAGTGTCATACATTGTGGTACTTAATCACAATGCATGTAGGAACCTGAACCGGAACCGCATACTGGAACATGGTTTATGTCGACCTGTAAAGTTTAATAAACTATTTGTTTTGTTAATAGAGTTTAGCTGATATCATGTATTGATTCATATTAGCCTACCCCAAATTTTTTGGGACAGGTTTGAATGTTGTTGTATAGATTTTTGCTGATAGAATTCAGGATTGAGTATAGAATTCCAATCGTAAGATCATTTAGTTCAGGATTGGTTACACTAAAAGACTGAATCGGAAGATCATTTAGTTCACTCCAGAGTCTTATAAACCTGTTTCTCCCTATCTCTTCACTGATTCCTGTTTTATTGTCAAAATATGGTAACAGTGTGTCTTCTAGAGCTACATACGTACATGACATCTTCATGGACGTTTGACCAATGTTTATTTTCCCGTTCTGCAACACTTCTAATGTCTTATAAACCTGTTTCTCCCTTAATCACAGTGTCATACTGAAATTTAGAAAAAATAATGTACTCATATCTAACTTGTATTTGAATATCAGGGGAGTGAAAATTCACCATGCCTCGGTTTCAAAGAAGAGGTTATCTCTGAATTGGGTTACAGTCATGGTATGTTCCTCATTGCCCTAAATTGTATTTGGCGTGTTTACATTATGTTGTATAATGATACTAATGTGTACTTGACATATCTAGTGCCCTAAGCAAACTGGTTCTATGGAATGTGGATACTTCTTGATGAAGTACATGAGTGACATTGTCTGTGATGTTAACGTCCTGAAAAAGAATGTGAGTTAAATGTGGACTGTTTGTATATATTTTTGTGGGATAACATTAATTGAAGTTTGTATATGTTTGTACTCATTGTATTTTTATACTCTTAGTTCTCAACAATAAAGGACTACTCTGAACAAGACATCTTGCAAGTGTGTGAGGAGTGGGCAGCATATGCAACAAAATTGGTTCTAAAGTAAGTTTTTTTTTTTTTTTTCATTTTGTACTTATTTTGTTCATTGTGTTAACATTTTACAGAACCTGGATTAATTTCTTATACTTGTACTTCTTGTTTACAGATGCGGTTGATTGAATGATGGTCTGGAGTTCGTGTACTTTTGGAGTGAAGGAAAATGCAAGAAACACTTTTGGACTGAAATTCATTGAGAACTTTATGTTGGGTATACATTTGTGTAGGTTCATGTTTTGTGGAATGTAAAACTTTACGTTATGCAATGCCTCGGTTAATTGTGGCGTCATTTTTGCTTGAAACTGAAAGCCTGCGCGGCTACGCTCATGTTGTTGTGGAAGTTGTAACCTAACATGAAGAATTAACAATGATGAAATCCAAACACTATTATTATATTGTAATGTTTATTAGTGTGTTTGTATTTAAAGTTGGGTAATTGGTGTATTGCTTGAATGCAAACATATAAAGTAATGAAACTAATCTGTCATGAATGCAAGAAACTAGTAAAAAAATGGCTTATAGTGACATTTAATTAGTGTCACTAAACAATTTAATGACACTCTAAAAGTGTCACAGAAAAGTGGGGCTAGTGACACCAAACCATCACAAATTTTGAATGTGTATTAGTATCATTATATTTGTTGATGTCGGTATATCACTAAAAAGCATGATGCATTAGTATCAGAAAAATCCTTGTCACGTATATATCACAGATCTCTACGATGTTTATATGTCATAATTTTGTGACACCAAAGTGACTTGTTAACGGTGACACAAAATTTAGCGTCACTAGCCCCACTTTTCTGTGACACTTTCAGAGTGTCACTAAATCGTTTAGTGACACTAATTAAATGTCACTATAAGCCATTTTTTTACTAGTGGGTGTCCCATAAGGATCTACTTTGACGTGGTTACTACACAATAATGTGTTAAATAAAGTGTGTCCAACTCTTTATCATCAATTACTTTTAAGAATGATATGACTGTTATTTAATCATAGCTCGGAGGTAGTATATCTCAAGGATGAATGATGCACTAAGAAGTTTGTAAAAAAGGATGAATTGTTCATACAAAGGACATAATTTTAAATAGTATATATATTCAACTAAATTTTCTTTTATTTCTAAATAAGTTTTTAAATACATTTAAAAATTATATTTGCTTTACTTTTATATAACTACTACTACTATACTATTATCATTTTAAACATATGTACATTTACGTGACCGCACACAGAAATTCATTTACTGTAGTATTATACTAGTTTTCAAACTCGTGCGATGCACGGGTAGTACATAATTTAGCTAAATGTAAATTTGATTATTTCGGAATCACACATAATGTGATGCAAAATCAAAATAAACTTGGTCTAATATAAATCGGTTTGATAATACTAAAATTCATCGAATCGTCTGATTCTATTGTAATGAATTAAATCTAACTGATTGGGCTGAATTGACGGAATCTCCCGAATTGTGAAAAATAAAATTAAATGTACTACATATATCATTAATAAAATAACATAAAAAATATATGAAAAAGATTTAAAATAAACTTCTAGATAAGCATCTCAAATAAACATAATTGGTAAAGAATTCACACAAAAGCTTCTCAATTGATCTTATATCATTTAAATTACTTTATTAAGCATCGCAAAATACTATTTTTTAATATTTCTCATTCAACATGGTATGAAATAAGTATTTTTATATTTTATTAGTGAGATCTAACATTTTACTCATCATTTTGTCACATTAAAAATGTAAAAATGAATCTTTTTTATAATTATATTTACTCATTATTTCGTCACATTGAAAATGTCATTGATAGGGACATTTTTTACTGGATTGAAACTTTTTGTTCTAATTTGGTCTGAAGTAATATGGTTTGGAAGATGTTTGTTGTATGTGTGTTTTATTATTATTTTTAATATTTTTATTGATGTTTGATCTGATATTGTCTGAGACTGAAATCAGTCCAATTAAAAGCATCTGATAAATAAAATTAGGAATATGTAAACCAATCAACATTTGAAGATTTCCTAATTTGGATTAGTATTCTATTTCAAAAGTGAACATTAGCTAGGACTTTGGGAGGGAAAATTATAAATAACATTACACAAAGCTATAGGTCGGCAGCCTCCTAAGGAGCCTGACTTATCGTTTTTGGGAATTGAAATCAAATTAGTATAGGATTACCCCCCTTAGGATGCTTCCCAACGAGAACATATGTTGACAGAAGGCTATAATATCACTGCCTTTGATATCCCAATGATGATTGTAGAACCCTGGATTCAATCCATCTTATCCTGGCGTCTTGTCCAGGTGCATGACAAAAACAACTCTTTTAACTTCTAAATAACTAATTGGCCGCAATAGTGCACTTCTTTGCTCGTCGGACAATTTGACAACTCTCAGCAACTCAATGTGATTTATATGGACAGAACTCAAAGAGTCAATAAAATATCACAAGATAGCATTTCCCATTTGTTCTCTATTATTGGCCTCCCACTCATTTTCTAGCCGCAAACCCTTCATATAAATCTTTTTTTTTGCGTTGTTTAACCGAATTATGAAAAAATGTGCTCTTGTCTCCCTCTTTGAGTCGAAACTCCTTTATCCTTTGTTGCTAAAAATTGTTCTATTTATGAAGCAGATCAAACAGTGTAGCTTTTATCCTATGGAACTCCCCTGACTTGTCACCTTCACCTTTGAGTTGGTTTTATCGTATTTTCAAACCTTGATTCTAGTTTGAAATCCCACTGGTCTATTTTTACTCCAAGATCTCAACTCCCCGCCACAAGCTTCAATCTCTGCCATAAAGATAGATTTCCCGAGTTAGACCAAGACCAATGCAATAATTCCATACATTCCTCAGCTCCAAATTTATAAACTTGAAAACAGACCTATGCCATGCCCGTCTTTCTTTGTCCATTCTCATTCTCATATGGTCACTTGAAGGGCCTTCCAATGACATGGTTGTGAATTCCACCAATAATTGCATCCATTCCTTATTAGACAACGGTTGATCAAGTTTTTCCTCAATCCGACGCCATGTGCCTCTCCCTCTCTTCCATGTCCATTGATAGTCATCGAAAGAAATATTACGAAAACCACAACTAAAGATAGCCTCTCTAATCCTCTCATAAGCTAAGGTGGTTATGGGGGTCTTCCTCTACTATACGTTCACGCGCGATTGAATATTATATCATTCAAATCCCTCAATTAATTAAAGCCAAAGTTTGTCACTAAAGATGTTTTTACTTGGATTGTTTTTAGTCCCAGACCAGATAAAACCAGACCAGACTTCCATAGTTCTAAAATCCACAGAGACCAGACATTTACCATACCAGATCAGACTAGCAAATTTGTAAAAACATTTTAAGACTAACAATCTCATCAGTGCCAACAATTCCCTTCTTCTTCGTCTATGAAATTCATGGTTGGATTTACGGTAGAGAGTTAATTCGACCTTCCCTGTAGTAAACAAATCCCTCGACTTAAGCCGTCACTATCCACCCTGAAATTGTTACTGAAGCCCAATTGCCTCCAAAGTTCGTCACATCACACCCCGTTCGTCTTGGTCTCTGTCATAAACAAGATTGTCGAAATCATTTAGTGAGATTGTGTTAAGGTGATGGTATCACCTTGCTTTATTATCCTATCCCAAGGATAACTTCTGCTTCACTCATATCTTTCATGGAGAAGTTTGAACATAGGAAAGATTTTGTCTCTTTCACTTGCCTCAAATCAGTGCCAAATATGAGAATGTCATCCACATATAAACAAATAATGACACCATTACCATGCTCATTAAATTTGCTATATACGCACTTGTCTGATTGGTTTATTTTAAAACCATTTTTCAGCACCACCTCATCAAACCTTTGATGCCATTGTTTAGGTGCTTGTTTCAGACCATACAAAGACTTGACAAGTTTACAAACTTTCTTTTCTTGTCCTTTGCTCCATTGACAAATCCCCCTTTTTCCGTTTGAGGCTATTTTTCACTTCCTTCCATGAAGGTGGTAATTTGTCGATTATAGAACTGACCGCAAAGGTTTCATTAACATGCATGTCGTGTATCAAAAGTTCATATAATCGTTGAATCTCATGAAATTGCTCCATGACCGGACGAGAATCCACCGTTTTGTAACTATTAAAGTTACTAATGAGAAATTTCTTACTTGAAGCATCCTCGGTCATATATTTGGATTCAATAGATTCCCACAACATTTTAGCATATTCAACATTTTGATACACATCAAATAGAGAATCGCACATACCGTTCAAAATGTGCCCACGGCAAATGTAGTCGTCATTATCCCACTTGATGCGGCGGCGGCTTGTCTCCAAAGACTCGTTTTCTTCTTCCTCGGGCGGCCTCAGGGTGCTTAACACGTAGACCACTTTCAAAGTGGTGAGCAAAAAATGCATCTTTTTCTGCCACCTCCGAAATTTCACACCTTCAAACTTTTCCAATTTTTAAAAATTGGTGTTGATGATATCTCGTTGAGTAGCGGCCATATTTGCGGAATAGTAAACTTTTAGATTGTTAGAACCGGGGGTAATTAATACTCTGTAGTATATTAGGGTGTAGAAATATGGCTGGACCGGATATCACTAGCTTCTAGTCACGTATAAATACATTTTCCTAAAAGTTTACTATTACCCTTATCACAGTAACTGAGTTACAAGATAGAACTTTTGGGATAAAAAGGTGTACAAGTGTATTTTAGCTACTGGTGAAATAACACTTAACAAGTGATTTGCATATAAAGTAGTCGAAGTACTTTAATTTTATTATTGCAAATAATAAAGTAAAGTGTGGCAAGATCATAAGGATAATCAAGGTCAAATAAAAATCAATGCGCATCGGACATGGATATCATTGATGATATTTTTGAAGAAAGGGACGCTGCACTTATTCGGGGTATTTCCACTGAAAAGGAGTCATATTAGAGACTCTTTGGGTTGGAGATGGGAAGAAAGTGGTCAGTTTACAGTTCGGAGTTGTTATAGAAGATTAATAGGTGATCTGGATGACCAAACGGGATTTGATTGGACTGCCATGTGGGAGTTAAAATTACCACCTAAAATTAAAATGTTTTTTTGGCAGGTTTGTAGCGGTTGTCTTCCTTCAAGACTTAATTTGCAGGTTCGCAAAGTGATTTTTTCGGGGCTATGCGGAATCTGTGAAGCAGCAGCCGAGTCCTTGGAGCACTTATTTAGAGGCTGCACTTTGGCCCAGGAGCTGTGGCGAGAACTAGGCTGGCAATGGCATACTGTTGCGGACAGGCCTTTTCTGGAGCAAGTTAATAAGGAGTTCTAAAGGAAAAATAAGGAGGGCTTAGAAGAACTGGTCTGGGGCTGCAGGATACTTTGGAGCGAACGCAACCAAAGGGTGTGGCGGGAGAAGTCTTCAGCGGTCAGGCAGCTTATTCATCGGGCTCGAGCAACTGTGGAAGGATGGAAGCAAGCTCAGATTCAGGTAGCTCGAGGAAGAAGACCGCAAATCAGTTTGCAAGGGAGAGCTGCCTGGTGCAGACCTTCCCAAGGCTGCTGGAAATTGAACGTCGATGCAGCGACTCGGGTGAACAGATGCGGGCTAGGCTGGTGTCTTAGGGGCGCCGACGGCCAGTTTATTGCTGGCATGGGCGGAGCTAGGGGTGGGCCAACCTAGGCCCAGGCCCACCCCAAATTTTAAAAATGGCTTAATTTTTAAGGTAAAAAATTTCGTGTATTTTTTTAAAAAAAATATTCTTTGCACCGGCCCAATCCAACCTAGTGTCCTGGCTCCGCCCTTGATTGCTGGGGCAGCCCAACCATGGCCGGGCAGGCAGGTTGACTCCTTTGGGAGCTGAGTTGGCAGGAATTCACGCAGCTTTTAGTTGGTTGAAAGACTTCGGTGGGACGACGGTCGAGGTTGAATCAGATGCTGCAGGTGCAATTTCGGAGATTCTACACGGGTCGAGTTGCTCCTTGGTGGGATTACTAAGAGACGGCATTAGAGATTTGGCGAATTTTTTTTCGCAAATTTCATTTTGTCATATTAAGCGGTCAGCGAACAAGCCTGCTCATTTGTTAGCAAGGGCAGCCTGTTCTTTGTCTGATTTGCAGTATTGGCTTTACTCTCCTCTGATTTTATTGTATCGGCTTTAACCAACGATTTGATTAATGATAATTAAGCCTATTCTTTCAAAGAAATCAATGCGCATCAATTCTCCCGTGTTCAATTCTATTTTCTTGACCATTAGGAGAAGTCTGATGATGCAATCGAAAAAGTTCGAATAAAGCATCGCATATTTTCCAAATGTTTGTGATGCATGGTTCGAAACATCATGGCTATTCAATTCAAAATAAACTTTTTGATTACTTCATCATGTACGTAATGGATGCTTTTTAAATTTTAATCTAAATTTTGAACATGATTAAACGACCGTTCCAACCATGCCAATTACAATTATTATTATTATTATTATTATTATTATTATTATTATTATTAAGATATGATTCACTTAATCATAAAGAAAAGTATCATACATGTCTTAAGAAATAATAATATTTGTAATTATCCTTTAATATTATTTTAATTAGAACTCCACAATACTCGATTAAAATAATATTAATTAACAAGGATCAAATTGAACACTTGAGTTATATTTCTCAGTAAATTACAACAGAGACACTATGGACAAGCTTATGGAGCAAACAAGTAGGAAATGCTTGGAATATATCTTCAAAGGTCAACTATTCTTCTCATGTTGGCAGGACTACCACTATTACTACTCTACATATTCTCCAAACAAATCTTGCTCTCATTCTCCGTGATTAATTTTGAATAAATGTCAATTACACAATTTTTATTTTATTATTTTACGTGTCTGTCAATTCTGTCAAAATTATAAGAGATGAAGTGAGTATATATATGCGGGGTTAGAGAGTTAGAGAGTACTCAAGCTTATTTTTGAAAAGAGAGTACTCAAGCAAGAGTTAGCCAAAATTTATAAGCTTGTTTTGTGAAACATCAATCAATTGTTGTATCCATACCGTCTATTACTCTTTGAGGAACGATATCGGAATTAGAGGATCACAAAATCTTATTCTTACATATCATTAGCATCAATCTTAATCAACTTCAAGAGCTGGAGAATTCAAGTTCTCCCAACGCCGGTGAGCACATGAGCTCGGAGCTGGAAGAAACACTCTCAGATTCAAGATCATCGAAAGCTCGAAGGTTACAAAAAGCCACCAGCATCGAACTCAGAAATCTTTTCCGGTTGGCAATTCCGGCCATCATTGTTTACTTGTTAAACAATGTTACTTCCATGTCTACTCAGATTTTTTGTGGGCATCTTGGTACTCTCCAGCTCGCTGCTGCTTCCCTCGGCAATAATGGCATCCAAGTCTTGGCCTATGGAGTCATGGTACATTCCCTCAGTCTTTCTTCAAAAAGATGGAAAACTTCTACACTAATTTGGTTTCTTAAAACAATCACAGGTTTTACGTACATACTCCAAAATCCAAATCTGTACTTCAATGAGTAAGATGCTCAAAAAAATTTTTGAAGATAGTTTACTCATTAAGTCTAGTTTACTCATACCAAATATCAGTTAAATATTCAATCGGGAAGGTAGTCAAATGAATTTTTGAAGATAACTGCGCAGTTAGACAACGCAGTATATTTCAGAAAATCATTTGACTGCCTTCTTGATTGAATTTTTAGATGAAATTTGGTATGGATAAACTAGATTTAATGAGTAAGATGCTCAAAAAAATTCATCAAAAAATTCCACAGGAAACCGCCACAAATGGCGACATCCGGACGAAGCCTCCTGTAAAAGGGATTATTTGCACTTTTTATGAAAGTTCGAGGGCTTATTTGATAGTTCTCCCCTTATTAGCCCTTAACAGTTAACATGAGTTATAAGAGTTATTAGCCCTTAACTCCAAAGAGTGCTAATAGGACTATAATTTTTTCATTTCTCATAGAGGAGTAATTTTTGTCTCTCCTTATTCTATCCCTCCTATAATCCCCAAAACAAGACTTATTTTACTAATAAGAAATTAATAGTTTTATTTATAACACTGGGTAAAGAATAAATATAATAAAAGTATTCATAAATTTATAATAAAATGTAAAAATAAAATAAAAATAAAAAAACATAAAAAACCTAAAAAAATGAAAAAATACATTAAAAATATGTAGACACATGCTGCCACATATTCCACATCCCACCACCGATTGACAGGAAAATGCCACCTTGTTTAAAAATGGCATCTTTCTATGAAAATACCAAATTTTGCTCCTAGAAGTAGTATGAAATTTACCTTTTTAGCAGGTTAGCGTTGCTTCAGTGACCGGAGGGGCGGTGCCGAAAGGTGGCTGAGGTCGGCATATTTTTAATTTATTTTTGACGTTTTTAAAATATCTTTATGTTTTATTATTATAAAAAAAGTCTTTTCAAAGCATGACAAGGGCAAGGGTAAGATATGAAAAGTTACACTTATTTTAAGTCTGGTCTGGTCTGGTCTGAACTGTTTTGATCTGGTCTGGTAAACGTCTGGTCTTTATTTATTTTATAACCACAGAAGTCAAGTGTGGTTTAGTGTGGTCTATTTCAGTCTGGTCTGATCTGGTTTGATCTGTTTAAGTCTGATCTCATCTAGTCTGGTCTGTTTAAGATTAGATCAAATCAGACTAGACCAGACCAGATCAGATCAGACTTCCATAGTCATAAAATACACATAGATCAGACGTTTACCAGACCAGACCAATTCATACCAGACCAGATCAGACCAGATCAGATCAGATCAGACCAAACTAGACCAGCAAATTTCAGTCCAAAAGAAACCTAACTAGATGTCATTGCGCTAGCTAGATGTCATATACGAAATTACGTTGGTAGTAGTCCCTTACTTTCATCTTAATTAATTATTAACTGATTTATTAAGTTAAAATGTTGTTATGATTTACAATATTTTGTTTCATTTGTATTTTTGTATAAAATGGTCCATTCATTTAGATGGGAATTGCTCGAAAAGAAGTTCCATATATGATATATCCCCAATTCCTTATTATGGAATGTTATACTACGTATGTTAACTATACATAATGTATGCATGAACGTACAGCTTGGAATGGGAAGCGCGGTAGAGACACTATGTGGACAAGCTTATGGAGCAAACAAGTACGAAATGCTTGGAATATATCTTCAAAGGTCAACTATTCTTCTCATGTTGGCAGGACTACCACTTTTACTGCTCTACATATTCTCCAAACAAATCTTACTCTTATTAGGAGAATCAAAGTCTGTGGCTTCCGCCTCCGCCCTCTTTGTCTACGGTTTAATCCCGCAAATTTTCGCTTATGCTGCGATTTTTCCGATACAGAAATTCTTGCAATCCCAAAGCATTGTAAGCCCTAGTGCATATATATCAGGTATTCAAAATTGTACGTTCCTTGTATCTTCATATTTATGCAACATCGTGGTGCTCTGGTTGCTTTTGAAAACTAGAATCGGATCTAATTAATTGGAGAATGAGATGCTAGGCACGTAGGAAAGTTCCTCTTTAATTTCTTACTACCTCCGTCCCGTTGGAATGTTCCCGTTCGGTTTACGATGCTTGACTGACGATAAAGCAACTCGATCCCTGTTCACACTCCGCTTATTTTTAGTAAATAAAATTAACATATTTAGAAACTACATTAAAACCGCTACAAAGCCTGATCAAGAAAAGTTCAATTTGATAAAAATTTGATATATAAAATAAAAGATTAGGAGTGATCTAAGTTGACTAATGAATAGTGAACGAGAACATTCCAACGGGACGGAGGGAGTATTTCTTATTTTTCAGTTATGCTATGATTGCTATCAACAATTGGTGACTTTTAGTCATGTTCCCGTGAATCAAGTTTTTTGATCATATGAGTTATATGATGGGAAATTCTCTTTCTTTTAGTAATATTGCGATAAATTTCCCTATATATTATTCTCATGGTCATCACTACCGTACTAACACTCCAATAGTATGTTTTAACCGGCTCTAGCATTGTCACACATGCATGTAATTGTTACCGTCAATACTAAATTAAGATATGTTAATGACATTCTCCAAATAGGTCATTATAGTGACTAGGTCATAGATTGGGAAATACATGATCTTCTAATCACATGAGAGGTAATTTTCTCTAATATATATATATATATATATATATATATATAGAGAGAGAGAGAGAGAGAGAGAGAGAGAGAGAGAGAGAGAGAGAGAGAGAGAGAGATATCAGGTGAGAAGTGCCCCTTAAAATGAGAAGTAAGAAGTAATCTTAGCTCTTGGATTTGCATGTGATCTTGCAACGCAGTAAACTTATAGACTCAAATACTGAATGTAGAAACTTATAACCAATAAATCATTACTTATAAAGCTCTCCATTGTAATTACGAAAATGTCACCGCGTCCAAAAATTTTCAAGGTTTTCAGACTCACTTTTTTGCGGTGGCATTTTCGTAATTATTTTCGAGGGGTCTATAAGTTATGATTTATTGGTTAAAAGTTCCTGTTTTAAGTCTATAAGTTTAACTTCGCAGTTTTTAGCCTAAGAGCACTTCTCATTGGATCCGCTCCCTATATATATATTGGTTCAAATAAGAACATGATCTTAGGAGAGAAATAAGAATGAATCTGGACTGTTAGATTTACTTTAAGTAAAATTCAATATGCATTAGATGAAATCATGAAACTGTTATGTGTATTAGGTGAAATTGAAATGTGCAGCACAAATAGTATAATACAGTGACATTATGTGAAGCTGAATTGTGCATTAAGTGAAATTGAAATGTGCAGTAGGTGAAACTGGAATGTGCAGAATAAAAGGTACGATGTGATGTTATTTTTGTACCTTTTCTTCCGCACATTTCAGTTTCATCTAATTCACACTTGAGTTTAAATTTTTATTCCGCACATTTCCATATCATCTGATGCACATCTCAGTTTCACCAAATGCACAATCCAGTTCCACATAATACAATTGAACGGTCCAGATTCCTTCTCATTTCTCTTTTGGGAGTCTGTTCTTACCGGAACTGCTCCCTATACATATATGCATATATATATATATATATATATATATATATATATATATATATATATATATATATATATAGTCCCGTTTCTATCAGGAGCTCCTGAAGAGAAGCCCCGTGCGGACAAGCCCATCAGAGGGTCTTCCCGGTGGAATTTTTTGATGAAATTTTTTGAGCATGTTCTTCATCAAGTCTAGTTTGTCCATACCAAATTTCAGCTCAAAATTCGATCGGGAAGGCAGTAAAATAAATCCTGGAAACATACTGCACTTTATATGTGCGCAGAATGAGCCATAGTTTTCCAGGATTTTTTAAGCATGTTCTTCATCAAGTCTAGTTTGTCCATACCAAATTTCAGCTCAAAATTCGATCGGGAAGGTAGTCAAATAAATCCTGGAAAACTATGGCTCATTCTGCGCACATATAAAGTGCAGTATGTTTCCAGGATTTATTTTACTGCCTTCCCGATCGAATTTTGAGTTGAAATTTGGTATGGATAAACTAGACTTGATGAAGAACATGCTTAAAAATTTCATCAAAAAATTCTACCCGGAAGGTCCTCTAATGGCTTTGTCCGTACGGAGCTCCCTATATATATATATATATATATATATATATATATATATATATATATAGGGAGCGGTTCCGGTAAGAACAGATCTTAGGAGAAAAATGAGAACGAATGTGGACCGTTGGATTGTATTATGTGGAACCAAATTGTGCATTTAGTGAAACTGAAATGTGCATTAAATGATGTTGAAATGTGCAAAATAAAAATTTAAACTCAAGTGTGTATTAGATGAAACTGATATGTGTGAAAAAAAGTACAAAAATAACATCACATCGTATTTTTTTATTCTGCACATTTCAGCTTCACATAGTGCACATTTCAATTTCACGTAATGCACAATTCAACTGCACATAATGCCACTCTATCATACCCTTTGTGATGCACATTTCAATTTCAGCTAATGCACATTACAATTTCATCTAATGCACACTGAATTTCACTTGAAGCAAATCTAATGGTTCCGATTCGTTCTCATTTCTCTCATAAGATCGTGTTCTTATTTGAACCAAAACCTATATACATACATATATATATATATATATATATAAATGATGGTGTCAAGCACTTCTCCGTGCGAACGCCGTGCGAACACCGCCGTTTGGGGTCGTTCCTGGTGGAATTTTTTGATTAATTTTTTTGATCATGTTCCTCATCAAGTCTAGTTTGTCTATAAAACATTTCAGCTCAAAACTCGATCGGGAAGGCAGTCAAATCATTTTTGAAGTTGACTGCATTTTTATATGTATGTTTTGGCGCAGTAAACTTCAGAAAATGAGTTAACTGCCTTCCCGATCAAATTATGATCTAGATTGAGTCCGGCCTCCAATACTTACCGATAAATCTTTGTATATAGGTTTGGATAATGTTTTGTTCATTCAATTTTATTTCAGGAGTAACGCTAGTTTCACACATCGCCCTAACATGGGTGATATTGTATGTGTTGGGCTGGGGATTGCTGGGCGCGGCTCTCGTGTTGAGCTTTTCGTGGTGGATCATAGTGGTCGCGCAGTTTGTGTACATATTGAAGAGCAAGCGGTGCGAGAAGACGTGGAGAGGGTTCAGCCTTAGTGCATTCTCAGGGTTGTGGAATTTCTTCAAGCTCTCTATTGCATCTGGTGTGATGTTGTGTTTGGAGATGTGGTACTTCCAGATTCTGGTCTTGATTGCGGGTTTGCTTCCTAATCCTGAGGTTGCCTTGGATTCTCTCGCCATTTGGTAAGTTGGGCTAGCTAGAAAATATGTCATGTTAATTCATATGGCTTGTTGATTTATTGCTCATCTACTTTGTTTCCAAATTTAGTTAAAAAGCAACTCTCACTCACCTTTCTAATAATATTTAATGAACTTGGTTACATTGAGTCAGAAAAGTAACTTTATGTTTACTTGTTTTGATTATGAGCTTAAGATATCTATAATTTAGTGTTTGCTAAAAAACTTATCGATAAAATTGAAGAAAAGGGAGGTTTCAAAATGAGGTTTCATACTCCCAAACACTATTATAAAAATAACTTCTTAAAATAATACTGAAAAGGTTCGCCATATTGACTTTTCTTGGTCAATGATGATGACATTTAAACAATGATTTTGATTATTATATTTATAAATAATTTATAAATTTTATACTTTTATGAAAATATTTTGAATAAGGAACATTTTGATATAATTTTCATATTCTATATAATTTCGTATTAAAAATATCATTGGTCATAGTTGATTGTCATTGACCAAGAAAAGTCAATTTGATGAACCTTTTCGAGACGAAGGGAACAATGTAGAACAACTCAAGCATTAGTGTATTATTCTCGGGTTAGAAAGTAATTGTATACTTTAAAGTCTCAGGATTAAGTACCAAAACCCCTAATAATATAAAAATTTTGAGCATTAACTCCTTGTGATAGATGTTTCACATCCCTGGTGTTATAATATACTATCCTCCGTTCTCTTTTAATTGCAACATTGGACTTTTTGCACTATTCACATATTCTACTTTGACTATATTTTTATTCATTAATGTATTTTAAATTAATTTTTTTAAAAATAGTATTGAATTCTTCTCATTCTAAATTTTCAAAATATGATTTTTTAAAATTTTTTACTAATAAGGAATGAAAGATATTAATGGTCAAACTTGTGCATTGGCAAACATGAAATGTTGACTGTTGCAATTAAAAGGGAACGGAGGAAGTAGAAAAAATGGCATAGATATTACTTCTAGAGTTTGATTTGACAAAAATATGACCAATTTAAATTTGGACAAATAAGTGACTCACCAAACCCATCCGCCCCTCTCTCTTCTTCTACATTTCTTCCGCATCCTCTTTTTATTTTTCAGCATCCTCTTCTTTGCAGCTTTCTTCCTCTCTACCCAACCGATGGACTACAACTTTCTTCTTCACCGCCTCCATTCTTCCGCCGCTGCCGCCCTGCCGCAACTCTTCTTGTTCTCCTTCGCCGTTGACCGCAACTGAACCCGATTGCCTCCTCCATCATCCTTGATGACTGTGCCTCGTCTGGAATTGTCGCCCTCGATGGGAGACGCCTTCGCCAGTGCCAGATCCAGCTTCGTCGATAGATGATGACTCGTTTTGGGGCCTCCGATTCTGGATCTGCCAACCTCGGTGACAACAACTCCGATTGGGTGTAACAAATGCCTGATCCGCCGTCCTAGATGTCGGAGGTTACACTCCGATTGGGTGTAACCTCGGTGATTAATATATATATATATATATATATATATATATATATCTATATATATATATATATATATATATATATATATATATATATATATAGGGGTGAGATCACATACTAACCATTCCTCCCATGCTAACCTACAAACTATCAAAAACGGTGCATCTTTACATTATTTGTACTGCATATTGAAGTTCAAAGTGTTGCATATTATTTTTAAAGTTCAAAGTTTTGCATATTGTTTTTATTGCATATTGAAATTCACAGTGTGCATCTTTACATTATTTGTACTGCATATTGAAGTTCAATGTGTTGCATATTATTGAGTTAGTAAGTTAGTATTTTAAGCATGGTTAGTATGTGATCTCTTATCTATATATATATATATATATATATATATATATATATATATATATATATTAATCATGGACAAAAATCTCACCAACAACAAAATGAATTTCTCAAAAAAAAAATATTATTAGCATTTTTGTATAATATTTAGAAATCTTGACAAATTTTGGTGCATATTCAATCATAATATAAGACACGTAATTCTCAAATTGTTAAATTTTTTCTAAGAGGGAGATTTGGGCACAAGTAATCACACAGATTTCATGTACATTTTTTAATTCATAGGTTAAGCGCTAATGCGTAAAATTTATAAATCATGAAGGGACTTGATGTATTAAACTGTAAAATCTACTTTGTTTGTAATTATATGAAAGTATATATCTGCGAAAGTTGGTAATCTTTTTACTTAATTGAGCGTCAAACAATTAAAATAGTCTTACAAAGTATTTTTGGAAGAAATAGGCTTAAATTGAAGCAATAAAACTCGCTGATCCATTAAAAAAGAATCCTGATAACCGACGTCCCGCGAACCAGACTCAGAGTTAATCACCTCAAATGAAGCAATAAAACTCGCCGATCCATTAGTGGCCACACATGAGCCAAAGACGGTTACCCGAATTCTCTCATCCCCCATATCCAAATCAATCGTCTTACAGAAAAGAACAACAAAAACAAAACAAAACACAAAACAAACAGAAATGTGTGAAAAGAAAAAAATAAAGTTGATAAACTCTATTGTTTGAATTTGCCGAACTGCACAAGTACCCAAAACTTTTGCCTTGGTTTTTGTATCCACTTAGGCGGACTTACTGGTCAAAGTCCTCCCCATCCCCGTTTTTTTATCCCATCCAGAGCCATGTCATCCTTCCCATCCTGAACTTCCCCTGTGTCTCTCATATCCTTCTTCTGTTCCCACCGCTGTTTCTTCCTTTGCCTCACCTCCCACTCCCTTCGTTATACTCTGCTCTGAATCTGCAATAGACTCTTTCTTTCCACCCCCAACCTGTCTTCAGGCTTGTTATCCTCCTCATACCTGTGGTCTCTGTCAGAGCTCGATGAACCCTCCAGTAGCCATTGACTTCCTCTTATAGGACTCGTCTTCCCCCTGCTACCTGCTCTAAGTAATTGGATCCCGATTTTTTTTTTTCCAGAACTAGATCTTCTTCATAATTTAAATGGCAGAATTTATCTGAATGCCCAATTAAACCGCAGATAAAACAGAAATTGGGCAACTTTTCATATTTGAAGTCTACCCAATAGCTCTTGCCTTCGTTCTTCAAATTAGTTCCTCTTTTCAGGGGTTTCTCCACGTTCACGCACACCCTGATTCTCATATAAGCCTCCCACTTATCACTATTTTGATTATCATCATATTTTATAAATTTTCCAATAAAATTACCCACCCTTCTGACAGTACCTAAATTCACTAGGCTATACGGAACATTGTGAATTTGAACCCAAAAATCTGCCTCATTTAAAACAATTTTATGAGGAATGTCATCAGGCTTAACTTCTTTCAATAACAACAAATTACGTTCAAATTGTCATGACCCTACTCAAGTACACGATTCATATCCACCACCATGATAGGATGTGAAAAGATACCTTTTTTCCTCCACTTCTTTGACAGAGAGTCCTTTTCCTGGCCTCCATAGCGAAGCCATGAGCTCTTTGATAGCTGGAAATCTAACCTTGCGATCTGTCAACAGTACTCGTACCACCGGAAAACCTGACCTTCTCTCTTCCACCGGTGCCTCCTCCGCATCAATTCCGTCAAGATCCAACTCTTCTTCCTCTTCCTTAAGCGCCATCTTCCTATATTTATCGACGACACTTTCCATTCATTCCTCTGCCTTGCCTTCCTTTTGGACTATCACTAGACGGCTTACCGCAGCCGGTCTCGGCCGTGTTCGTTCGACAAAAGAAAGACATGTGCTCCGCCTAGACCTCGACGGCGAGAAGACTAGAGACAGCCAAATACGAAGCTCCAAAGAAACTCGAAAAAACCCCGCTCTCCTCACGGCTTAGCAGCGGCGGCCGAAGCTGCCCTGGTATATCCGGTGGCGGATGAAAACGATTAGGCATTACCGAAACGGAACCCCTAACGAGAGAATCGATTCTTAGAAAAAGGTTATCTTTGATTTCTCCGCAAAGTTAAATCGAGCAAACATATACGTGACATAATAAAGAGTTTGAAGGTATACAATGCATTTGAAAGAAAATGAATTATTTTAGAGATTACTTTTTCTAGTAGAATAAAAATACAGGTTCTGGGCCTTGGCAAAGAAATGAGAAAGGAAAATTATACTCCTATTGTACATGTGTACATCTTTTGTCACTCAGTGTACATTTTTCTTGTACCCTCTTCAATTTTGTTCGTATAAATAGATAATTAGCTCATTAAAAAACACAGAAACATTAAGAGAATAATTAAGCCTTATATGTGTACACAGCAATGACTCCCACCTTCCGTGGAGAAAGGGGGTCGTAAATTCTATCATTATCCCAATACCGCAAATTCTACAAAACATATATGTAAAAAATGTGTATATCCAGAATTACTCGAGCAAAATGATCCAAGTAGAAAGAAACATTTAACATCATTTTGAAAAGGGAAAACTATCAAATAGGCCCCGTACTATAGCGAAAACAACAATTAGGCCCTCGTACTCGAAAAACAACCAATTGAACACCCAAACTCTTAAAAATCGATCAATTAAGCTCTTTGGCTGGTAACTTCAGGTTTCCCAAGTAATAGCCCACATGGTGGTCCACATGGCAGCACATGTGGATTTTTTCTTTTCCATTTCCCCTTTCGTTTTCTTTTTCTTTTCTCCTCCTTTTTCTCCTTTTCTTTCCTTTTTTCTTTCCCCCTTTCTTCTTCCTTCTGCGCAGAGGCCTGTTTCTTCTGTTTATACGCAAAGCCCCTCCTTTGACTTCATCCCGGCAGCACTGCCGGCTACCGCCGTTATGCTGCTGGCAGGGGCGGACCCAGGAAGTTTATCTTGGGAGGGCGGTAACTTAAAAAAAATATTTTTTTTTGTGGGCAAAATTTATTTTTTCGTATATGTATACACTATTTTTTTTTGTTTGAGGGGCGACTGCCCCCTGGGTCTCTACTACGGTCCGCTCCTGGCTGCTGGTCATCGAACTCACTCCCCCCATCATCTCTTAAACAGCGGCCACCATACATGCGCCGCCGCTATCACTGTCGGTCAGTCCATCCTTTGACCCGATCTGTGTGTCGTCGTCGGATATCCCTTATCCGGCGGACTCCACTGGCCCACTCAGTGGAGGACCTAGGGGGGTCCTGGGGGGCAAGTGCCCCCGCTTCCGACCCCAAAGTTTAAGATTAGTGCTTAAGATAAAATTTGTGCCCCCGCTACTCGGTCAGAAAAACTTGAGATTTTCTTATAAATATTACCGAAGTAGAACTAATGGACACAAATATTACTATAGTTACTATGCATAGTCACTATACTGATAAATTGAACACAATCATGATCACTAAAATTACCATTGTAGTTACTAAGTCTTATTGTTATCCACTACCTTTATTTCAATCATATTGTCATTATTTCAAAAAACTCTAAACTATATAGGACTCCATTGAAGACATAACAATTGTAGTAAGATATAGTGGTATAAATTATAAACAACCACGAAGTTGTGATGGAGCAAATCCTTATAGTTAGACATGTGGTTGATATGATTACTACACTTTTTTTGAAAAGTAGCATTGATGATTTTCTTACTTAGTGTAAATAATGTTTGTCCAAAGTTAAAGGTCGTTTCTAATATGTAAGATGAACTTAATAGATTGAAGACTTTTATCTTGAAAAAAGTCCATACACGAAAAAAATGTCAATTCGCGATAAATTAGTTTCAAACCAACAGACTCTTTCAATTTTCTAATTTCTTATCTATAATATGATAAATGTTAGATATATAGAATCATATTATTAAATAAAAAAGTATGAAGCTAGTTCAGATATGAAATCTTGTGGCACAGTAGGAAGAAATCATAAACATGATTTATACTTCATTTTTAACACGATAGTATTATATTGCAGACAAAGTGTAACATTCGACATGATTCTAGTTCAGATATGAAATCTTGATCATTTTATGGTATGAAAAATAACGAGAATTCTAATGTAAAATTAGAAACGACGCAAAGATGGATCATTTTTTTTATCCAAATTATATCTTTATTTCAAAAAGTCATATATATTATTTAGAATTGTCTTAATAAGTTCAAAATTAGACTTATAATCCATATGTATCCATTTCTTGAAGCTAGCACTGAATATTCTATTTACAGTTAAAAATAATAATCCAAACGCGCTTGACAAAAAAGACTAATGATACACCCGATTCGACCCGACCCGATCCATTTCCATCTATGTGGGAGTGCCCCGCTTCAAAAAAGTTCTGGGTTCGCCACTGGGCCCACTGCACTTAGTCGCTGGACATCACTGCACTCAGATGCCGCCCCTTCATTGAGTTAGACGACGCCCTTCTTTGTAGTCAGCCGTCGCCCTTTAATCCACCTAGTCGGCGCCATTCACTCCAGGAATCCGGTGATGGCCGGCCACGAACTCCGACTCCAAAAATGGCGGCCTAAGTCCTCGGAAATGGTGGTCACAGTCCGGGGAGATGGCGGCCGGAATCCTTGACGGTGGGGGCAAAACTTGAAAATATCTCACTGAAAGATCTGGCGGGTGCGAAGTAGTGCGAACGGGAAGAAGAAAGGAAAGAGAGAGGAAATTAGAAAGAAAGAAAAAGAAAGAGAAAAGGAAAGGAAAAAAAATGAAAAAGATATCCACGCCGGCCGCCTCGTCGGCCATTAACCGGGAACTTGAAAGTTACCTGCTAAAAAGCTTAATTGATCGATTTTTAAGAGTTCGGGTGTTCGATTGGGTGTTTTTCAAATACGAGAAGGGCCTAATTGCTGTTTTCGCTATAGTACGGGGGCCTATTTGATAGTTTTCCCTTTTGAAAATGATTAGAACACTTTGAAAAAATGAAATGTACATTATTAATAGAGTTTCTCCGGGCAAAATTATGACTAGTTATGTTTTTGAGTAATTGAATAAGAGTGACTATAGTATACTTCGTATTTCAGAGTGAAAATCACCGAATACATCACTTTTTTGGAAAATTTTAAAATGCCTTACATTTTTGTTCTTTAAATTTATTATAATAAAATTAATGAAAATGACCCACTTACTTCTATGCAAAGAAAAACACGTACTAGTATATAATTATAATTTTTATATTTCATGCAGTTCAACAGTTCTAGGATGGGTGTGCATGATATCTATTGGTTTCAACGCTGCAGCAAGGTTAGCACGTACAGTCTTCATGTTTCTTCTTTTTTAACATGAAATTTTATATCTAAGATTGGCTCCATAGGTTAGCACGTACAGTCTTCATGTTTCTTCTTTTTTAACATGAAATTTTATATCTAAGATTGGCTCTTTTTAATGGGTATGTTTTACATAGTTTACGTAAGGGTATCCTTGATAAAACTAGCTGAGGAGATATTTTAATTTTGTGAACCTTATAGCTAATAACTTTTAGCTTTTAATGACTGAAAAAATATTCCCAAAGAAAAAATGTTACACTTGTTTGATAAAAAGTTGACCGTGTGATTTAATTTTGTTTGGTATAACAAGCTGTTTTGACTAATTAATGGTAAAAGCTACCAACTTTCTCCCAGATGCAACACGTTGTAGTTTCTAAAAAAAGATCTGTTAATTTGTTAAAAACTCTAACAAATTGTCAAACCAAATATACAAATAGCTTGCTTGAAGCTTTTAGAGACATTTTAAATAATACAAAATCTAGAAGGTGAGAGCTTATGCCTACCAAACATGCACTACGTGGTAATTTTATGATTTTGTTAGTAAACGTTATTCTATCTATCTCTTATAAGTTATACCTTTTTCAAATTTGATTGATACATAGAATAATAAAGTGAAAATAATTTAGTTGAAGTTTGTATAGTAGAGAGACAATTGGTAGCAACCAATGAGAATTATTGATTAAATCAAAAAATGATAATAAGTTTTTGGACAATTAGGATGAAAAGATAAACAAAATTATAAAAGACGGAGAGAACAACTTTTAGTGACTGAAAATGCAGGGGCGGATCCAGGAATCTGAGATGCACTGGGCTAAATAAGAATTATACTAGGGTCAAATATCAGCGGGGTGGGCTAATTGTGAAAAATGAAAAAATTTACACTAAGAAAATTGAAAATTTTCTAAGTTGCTCTGGGCTTCAGCCTACCATAGCCTGTACATAGATCCTCCCCTGTGAAAATGTTTCTTGATAAAATTATGTACTCTGTAGTTTTTTTAGAGAAATTATAACTTTTTTTTAAAATAGAACTAGTTTTCCAATCCTATCCTTAAATTTATTTTAATAAAATTTATAATTCACTAATAATTAAAACATAAAAGTAATAACATAACTTTATATAAAATAAAAATGTAAAAAATAGAAAACACGAAAATAAATGTTAAATAAAATTAATACAAAAATTAGGAAAATATGAAATTATAAAATATAAAAAATATTAAATATAAATAAAAAACTTAAAAAATAAAAAAATATGCAAACCTCTCTTGCCACCTCAATAACCTCTCGGCACCTCCAGATTTGACCACAAACAAAATGCCAACATTTGTCAACAATGCCATGCATCTTGATGGCAATTTTAGAGAAAATACGGCACTTTCAAAGTGTAAAAATCCTATCCTCATGTCTTTTTCAGGAAAAAAGTGACATTTCTTTTCACAAAAATGGCGATTTTTCACTGATCGGAGATGGCATTACTGGAAAGTAGCCACGGTTGTGAGAAAGGCCTCCATATATTTATTAAAATTAATTAGGTATTTTATTTATTTTTATTTATTATTAAAAACATTATTTAAATTTTTTTTTTTGTAACTTTTATTATTTTATTAGTTTTAAAATATTTTTGAAATTTTAATATTTGTTCACGATTTTTATAAATTATAATACTTTTTGTTTTTATTACAAATTAAAATATGATTTCCTATTACGTTATGGTAACGTAATGGTAGAATAAGAAGATAGAGTATACTTTAATTTAGTCCTATTTCCGGGAAATAAAGAACATAGTGCTATTTGTGAATTTAGGATTAGTTTATTCCTATTTAGAGCTATTTTCCCTATTTTCTTAACCCTTTAATTTCTTATTGTTTTTTTCTTAAAGCTTTTTAAACTCTTTAAACATATATAAAATAATAAGAATAGCTATGTTTCCTGTTTTCCACGTTTGAAACTTTGAATGATAGATCTTAACTATATTAAATGGCCAAAAACCAATAAAATATTGAGTATGATATCTTCCCTTCTTTCGTACACACGTATAGTAGAATCATTTGATAAAATTGAAATTAGTTGAATCGAATAAATCAATTTATTAAGGCAGAATCTGCTCAATTATTGATATTATATAGGCCGGGAAAGGCATAAATGTACCCCTAAAGTACATGTGGAGGTGTACATATACTTCTCAACTTTTAAAAGGCGAAAAAATATTCGTAATATTTCTATAAAGGAGAAAATTTATATTTATTGACTTTAAACACATAAAATAAATTACTACCTCCGTCCCATAAAATAGTACTCATTTCAATTTGGATCGGAGTTTAAGAAAGTGGGAATAAAGTGGAATTGTATGGTTGTGGTTGAGTAAGAAAAAGGTAAATGAATGTTAGTCACACAAAACTTTCCAAAAAGAGAAATGGGAACAATTTTTTGGGATGGCGCAAAAAGGAAAGTGGGAACTATTTTATTTGACGGAGGGAGTATAATTTTATATTTCTAAATTGAAGTAAAAACTTAAAGAGTTAAACATGCATACAGATTTATATTTATGTTAAATATTAACTCTTTAACTTTAGTCTTGTTGTGAAATAAATTATAATTTTATATTTCATAAATATTAATTTTAGTCTTGTTGTGAAATTTTGAAATAATGGCAAAAAAGTAGTTGTAGAGTTTAGGATGTTTTTTACTTGGACTGTAATTTGCTGGTCTGGTCTAGTTTCTTTGTATTTTTATAACTATCCTTGTCTGGTCTAGTCTGAACTGGTCTGGTCTGTTCTGGAAGGAATTACAGTCCAAGTAAAAACATCCTTAGAGGGACAAAATATGACCACTTTTTACTTGGACAAAAAGTGAGCATTTAAAATTAAACAAACTCTTCCGCTCCAGCACTCCATCGAACCCGTTGTCCTCTGCGCTACCCAACCCCTTCAACAATTAGAGTGCATTGCGACGAAGATGGCGATATGCCCTCATCCTTCTTCCGCATCCATTCTCAGATCAATAGCATGCTACAAAGAGCGATAGCGCTGCAACTCTTTCTCCTTTCTTCTCTCTATTTCTAGAGCTTCGATTTCAGATCGATTTGTGTTGATCTCTCACCCTTGTCCCATGGATCCGTCGTCCATTTTCGACGACTACTATTTCAAATTGATTGTTAAGGTTCAGATCTACTGCGGTTGTGCGATTGTGAGCGATAAGGAGCATATATCTGTTGTGACGACCTCTGCAACTGTGGCTGCGCAGATGACGAGCGATGGCGAGCAAGAAGGGCTGGTCAATGGCCGTCGTTGGTGCTTAGGGGCTGGTAGGTGGATGTCACAGCTCTGTTGCATAGGGGAGGGGGGCAGATTTGAACAGGCTGGTTCTGGGGAGAGAAAGGAACCGGTTTGTGGTTGGTGGGGAGGGGGCTTGGCGGTGGTCACAAGGTGAAGCGGTGTGTTAGCGGTCATTCGGCGATTCCTACAGCGTTCAAGTGTCACTGTGACGGTGGCGGTATCCATGTGGCGGTGGTGGTGTCACTGTGGCAGTGTCACTGCGGTAGGAGGCGGCGGCAATGACACGAGCAAGATCAACGTAGTGACATGCAACAGTGACATGAAAATTGGAAAGTGACATGAGTATTTGACAGTTACTTTATTTTTTTAAATATATAAAAATTTTAGTCACATTTTTGTCCAATTACAAATGTGGTCACATTTTTGGAAATTAGTTTTAGTGGAGTAATATTCAGGGAAAAATCTAGAAAATTTTGAACACATTGTTACATTTTTTTAAATAACATATATTCTTTGGTCTCATTTAAACTCTATAATCTTGGAGTATATATATCATTATACAAAATATGTAATATGGAGTATCATATATATTGTAAAGATATAAAAGGTTAATGATTTTTTCACATTGCATCAAATATGGTAACACTTTTCTGAAAGAATTATAAATACTTAGTGTAGTATATCGTAAAGTTTTGAAAAAAATTCTTATATTGACATATTAAGTTGTGACATAAGTAGCTTTTGTTTTCAATCCAGCACCTAACTTGTAAGAATGTAGAAATTATTATGATTTAATGGTTGCTTGGTAATTGCGGTGGGCAGTGTTCGAGTGAGCAATGAACTAGGGGCTGGGCATCCCAAATCGGCTTCATTTTCGGTAAAAGTGGTGACTCTAAGTTCTTTCCTAATATCGGCGGCGCTTGGGGTTATAGTCATCATCTTACGCCACAAGATTAGCTACGTCTTCACCGGCAGTAAGACCATAGCCAAAGCAGTCTCTGATCTTGCCCCTCTTTTGTCCATTTCTATTCTGCTCAGTGGCATTCAACCTGTGCTTACGGGTAATTTTCATTACCTAGTACTCCGTGGATCTTTGTATATGTTACTACCTCCGTCTCCCTAAGTTTGGGACAAGAGAAAGTGACACGGTTATTAATAAAAGTGAGTTTATTTGGTTGATATTGAATTGATAAAGTAAGAATAAAGTAGGAATGATTTAGAACCACACAAACTTTACCAAATAAGGTATGAGACAATCTTAGTGGGACGGACTGAAAAGGTAAAACAGGACAATCATAGCGGGACGGAGGGAGTATATCTTTTCTTTTTGGGACGTCCAAAAAATCTTTGTCATTTTCTCTTTTAAACAATTATTTTGTGGTTTCTGTTATTTGTTTCGCCTCTGCACAAACCTAAACCACACAGTTTTTACTTTAATATTCTCCGTGCCGGTCAACTTTGACAAAGTTTTAAGGGACGAAGGTAGTGTGTGTTTATATATATATATATATATATATATATATATATATATATATATATATATAGACAAATCTTCATGTCAGGCCGGCCTGACGGGATGCTCCGTCCTGTCGAGGGCATTTCGCGTACTTTCCGGTGGAATTTTTTGATGAAATTTTTTTAACATGTTCTTCATGAAGTCTAGTTTATCCATACCAAATTTCAGCTAAAAATTCAATCGGGAAGACATTCAAATAATTTCTTGAAGTTAAATGGGCAGTTTATATGTATGAACTGCCCAGTTAACTTCAAGAAATTATTTGAATACCTTCCTGATTGAATTTTTAGCAGAAATTTGGTATAAATAAACTAGACTTCATGAAGAACATGCTCAAAAAATTTCATCAAAACATTCAAGCGGGAAGTGCCCGAAATTCCCTCGGCCGGACGGCGGTTCCCGTCAGGCCGGCTGGACATGAAAAGTCCTCTCTCTCTCTCTCTCTCTATATATATATATATATATGTATATATATATTCCAGATCAAATAAAAATTTTCTTCCAGTGAAAACTACAAAACGGTCACTTTTTACCCATTGTGATGCACTATTAGATTTGTATATTGCACTTTTCACAATGACATACAATTATGAATTATTTACAAAAATGTCACCGTATTTTTTAATTTTACATGATTCGACTAAAGTTCAAAAAGTGAAAGATATGAGCTTTAAAGTGAATCAAATCGAGTCAAAAGTGACGGTTTGCAGTTTGCACAATAAGGATAGTTTTTATCGGAACCGTGCTATATATATATATATATATATATATATATATATATATATATATATATATATATATATATTCTTCTTTTCTACAAAAATTTGCGATCTTAATTTTCCTGGCTAATGTTGCATAGTCTTATAATTTAATTTTGGAGAGAATTCCCTAAATAGGAGTAAAAAAGTTTTGAAATTCCAAAATAGGATTATCATGTTTTTTACTCCGTATTATATTCCTTGAATATGTGTAAATTTCTGCCAAGTTTGGCATTATTAGGCATTAAACATGACATTTTTTCCCCAAACTTGGCAGATTACTCTTATTCAAGAAATAAAAAACATGATACTCATATTTGGAAATTTCAAAACGTTTTTGCTCCTATTTAGAGCAATTTCTATTAATTTTGAGCATCTTTTTGTCATACAAGAATGTGGTCTTCACGATTTTGAATAGGACTTTTAATGTTGTAAATTACTACGTATGTTATTTGCATATTTCTATTTAGGACGGAGCGACATTATATTTCGAATGTAAACAAATGGCAACAATAAAGAAGTGTTTACAATTGCTTCTACTTTTAGAAATTATATGAAAAGTGATTAATAGGAAAAGTTTATAATTTTTGAAAACAAAAATATTTTGAAAAGTAAGTTAAATTATGTGAATGATGAATATTGGACCTTCTCATTAAGCCCTTGTAAAGATCCCTAATTATCAAATTGGACCTCCTTGTTATACGTGTGCAAATTTCAAAGAGAAAATTCTCTATACGATCAAAATATAAAGGAAAAATTGAAAATAATAATCCCAACTATTGCCGGTCCGCTAAAAATAATCCCAACTATTGATTATTTTTGTATAATCTCAACTATATAGACTATCCGCCAATAATGGTTCATGACCAGATATTACCTCTATAAAAAGTGAATTTTAAATAGAAATTAAGCGTAAAAATTAAAAGTTGAGATTATTTATAGGGATTACTTGTTATATCTCATCTCATCCACTTTAGAAACTACAAGAATTTATTCATAGGAACCATTATTGGCGGAAGGTCCCTAAAGTTGGGATTATTCTGGAATAATCAATAGTTGGGATTATTATGAGCGGACCGCTAATAGTCGGGATTATTCCTATCAAATTTTCCAAATATAAATAGTGTATACATATGGGACTATGGACTATAATTATTTTCTTTCTAAAATAGAACTTATTAGAAACTTTATACTTTTAATAGGATCAAATAAGTTCTATTTCAGGAATAAAATAGATATATTGATATTTGTGCATTTTGTCTAAAATTTTAACATATTTAAAGCAATTTCTAAACCTAAATTTCAAATAAGCTATCAAGGTTTCAATCAAATTAAATCAAAACACTTTCGGACTTTTGGTTAATTTGGACACCAACGGAAGGTTTTTTTTCTTACGTCCGTCAATGGAACTGTTACTTCTATTTTTGCTTTTTTCCTGTTTTTGGGTACACAAAAACTAACTTAATTGATGTGTTTAAAGATTAGTGTCAAACATACTGTATTAGGGTATCTTTAGTACACTTATGGTAAAAAGATATTTTAGTGACTTTTTAGTATTGATTAATTTATAGTGACGAAATACATCTTCAGAGCAAAAAGGTCGTAGTTGTTTGATAAAAAGTTGTCTCCTTGATTTAGTTACGTTTGATTTACAAACTGTATTAATTAATGCTTAAAGCAACAAACAATTCTCAAATGCTACTCAGTTTAATCTTTCAAAACTTTTAATTCTGAAAAAATTAAAGGCTTTTAAAATTTGTCATGTCAAATATATCAATACAAACTTTTAGAGACTTTTTAAATAATACGAAAGCTGGAAAGTAAAAACTTATTTCTACAGAAAATGCACTTACTTTGCAATGAAAGTCGCTATGTTTTAACTTTCATTAACTACGTCCTCCTATTATATAAATTTTGTCAAAATTGACATTTGACAAGAAATTCGTTGGTCAACGGATTACCTACTGATGGACGGACACATGATCTAACGCTTTGCATACCTGGTGGCCCACGTCACATCCTCTTCTCTTCTCCCCCCTTCATTCTTCATGTCTTTTTTTTCCGGAGAAACCTGTCTTTTTCTTACCTTGTTTCACCTTCCTTGCACACTGGCCCATTCTTCCTCCATGGCATGAAATCGCCCGATGATGCCACTATCAAAACACTCAACAAAATAGTTCAAATCAACGGCCTGTTGTTCAGCATATCTCCCTCAATTGTCACGTCTGCAGGTAACCTGCTCATCGGTGGGTTACCTGCCAAAAATCGATTTTGATGAAATTTACATAATAGGAAAATCTATTTGACACTTATCTCATACGTTAATTTAAGAATATATTGTTATATTTCCAATTAAGAAAGTCTCATAAACATATTTATTGATCTTGAATTCTATCAATTCCAAAATTGCAAAACGGCCGTATGAGATATTTTAAGATAAGTCCATCATAAAATTACAATATCTAAACTTTATACTAAACCTCTTTAAATAAGTTTTTTTTCTGAATTGGAATAACGAGTTATATATTTTAAAACAGAATAAATCAACTAAGTTAGTTTTTTTTTACATAAAAAGGACAAATTTATAAAATAAGAGTAAACATAATGTAATATTCTAAAATAGGAGCACTCTGTTTCCCCCCTATATAGGAGCAAATTACTGTAATTCTAAAAACTTATTTTCATAATTTGACATTATCACATTTAGACATGATATCATAGGGTCAAATTTTTCAAAACTTGATGGTAATTAGATCTATTTAGAAAATATAAACATGATGCTCCTATTTTGAAATTCCAAAGTGTATTACTTCTATTTTCTGACAATTTCTCACAAAGGAAAATTAAATCTAAGAATTTCCCTTTAATGAAGAGTGGTTGTCCAAAACTTATAAGAACGGTGTAAGCTTTTTAGGGTTCCCCTCATCGCTTCGGAGCGGCGAAGGGCTTAGGTTCACGGCGACGGCGGTCTTAGCAAGTCTAGGTTTTCGGTAGGTGGCGCTATAGCTTTCTTGGCGCTTCAGTGTCTCGGAATTTTGCTAGTTTTTCTCATCTGGAGCACAGGGTGGGGCGTGGGAGCATTTGGGATCGGAGGGTCTTGGCAAATCTCAATTCCAGCACAAGGAAGATGATAGGGATCTGGAGACTGTTCACGTTTGGACTGGTTGTGCTCATGCAGTATGTTGACCAAGAGATGGAGGCGAGTCACGAGCAGATCAGGGTGTTGAAGGAAGAAGATGAAGGGATGAAGATCCCCCCCTCCTGAACCGCTGCCATGCTGGAAATAGGTGATTAGGGGTCGGAACACCGCACTGGAAGATTGGGTTCAGCGGCTCAATAAGTTCATCCCACTTAAATTCTTTGCCCCCATTTTTAATCTGTTTTCAAAGAAATTCGTTGCTATCGTTTTGCTTTTGGTATTTGCTTATGGTAATAGGTTTTTTACATTGATTGAGGGTTCGACTAGATTTGATATTGTTAGTGGGGGACGGATCTATTTTTTCAGCAATAGCTGCATAAGCTCGTCTGGTGGTTTTAGCGATTCGTATTGCTCCTTTAGGGGTGGTCGTCTCTATGTCTAATCGTAGGGCTAAAAGTAGTAGTGGGAAGGTGAAGGTTGTGGTCATTTCTGGTCATTTTGAGATTGTTGTAACGATCCTGATTCTAATGATATCAATATAATCGTTTTCCTTCAAAAAAAAACTTATAAGAACGGTTAAATGGATGTTTATTTTGTCCATTTCAAACTTCTATAGCCTCTTTGAGATTCGTGTGTATCCAATTTGTTCCTTCTCGTTAGTTAAAATTTGCATGAATGCATTATGGGTTGCTACTTTAATTCACTTGTATTTACAACCATTGTATGGAATGGATGAGGTTTTTAATTAAGTGTATCTGCTTGGTATATCAAGGGGTGGCTGTTGGGTGTGGATGGCAAAAATTTGTAGCCTACGTGAATGTGGGGTGCTACTATGTTGTCGGTATTCCCGTCGGTTCTCTGCTTGGTTTCAAATTTCGACTTGGAGCTAAGGTATAAATTAAATTCCAGCTATATCTATCTAAAATAGTTACTAATTTCGTCCCCTTTTATGCGTCATTGCGTCTTGTTTTGATTTGACACAACTATTAATAAAGTTGTTGAAAAAGTAAAGATTGTGATTAAAATTTTAGTATAATAAAGTGAATTCTTGTTGATTACATATTGTAATTCAGAGTTGAATATTTCCTCGCATATCATTCCCACAGCTGAAGAGTGTATGTATACATGATGTTACAACAGTTCATATGGAAATACAATAGTTACTAAGGAATATACAACACTTTAGGAAAAGAATTAAATAAAGTGATACAGTAAAACCAGCTCTTGTTAACATTCCCCCTCAAGGTGGAGAATGGATATCTATCATTCCCAACTTTTCTGGAGAGATATGGAAGACCCTACCACATACTGCCTTTGTTAAAATATCCGCCCATTGATCCTTTGAAGGAACCAATGGAAGCTTAACCGTTCCATTCTGGAGATGATATTTAATGAAGTGACGCTCGACCTCCACATGGTTTGTCCTCTCATGATGAACATGAGTGTGTGCTATCTTTATTGTAGCTTGATTGTCGCAATTTTGCTTCATCGGATCTGTGAGGCTAAACCCAAGGTCTCTTATATTCTTTTTATCCATAGGAGCTCATAGACATCATGATCATTCTCTAAAGTTCCGATTTCGCGCTTGGTCTCGTAACAATCTTTTGTTTTTTTGCTTTTCCTTGTGACAAGATTAACTCCCACGAACGTAAAGTATTCTAATGTTGAATCCCCATATGTTCCAGATCCATCCCATTTTGCATCCGTGTATCTGCTAACCCCTTTTACTTTATTTTTCGCAAAAAATAGTCCGTTTCCTGGAGCGGACTCTGGATACATTGGTATCCTATATACAGTTTCCATGTGATCTTCACTCGATGCATGCATAAATCGACTCACTGCACTAACTGCATATGCTATGTTCGAACAAGTGTGTGATAAGTACATCAGCTTCCCCATAAGTCATTGATACCTTTCTTTATTGGCGAGCAGTTATATATATACCTGTTTCTGCAAGCGGATCCAGCACATACTTTCGTTGACACATGGATATACCTTGCTTTGATCTAGCAACTTCTATACCTAAGAAATATTTTAGGTTTCAAAGGTCATATAGTTCGAAATCTATTGCGATCACCTTCTACAAAATAACCATTTCTCCAGGGTCATTTCTTGTGACTACCATATCAGCTACGTACACAACCCATGTTGTTATGTTCTCCTGTTGTTGCTTAACAAAGAGTGTATGTTCAACATCACTTTGGTTGTATCTAATCTTCTTCATAAAGGTTGAAAATCTTCTAAACCCTACTTGAGGGGACAGTTTGAGTCCATATAATGCCTTCTTTAACTTACACACTTTGTCTTTGCAGTGTATGCTAGGGGGGTCCATGTAACCTTCTTCTTCTTCCACTTGACCTTTCATAAACACATTTTTACGTCAAACTGTCGTAGTGGCCAATCTTCATTCGCTACTATAGACAAAAGAATACGAATTGTGTTTATTTTTGTTACAGGAGAAAAATTGTCTCAATAATCATTCCCAGAATTTTGAGTGTATCCTTTGCTACAAGTCATGCTTTATATCTGTCAATGCTCCCTGTAAAGTCTAGTTTGACAGTATATATCCACCAGTATCCCATTGTCTTCTTTCCAAAGGGAGATTTACTAAGTCCCATGTATGGTTCTTTTGTAGTACCTCCATTTCGTCATTCATAGCTTTCTTCTATTTTAGTCTTTCAAAGATTCTTGGATGTTGCATGGATTAGACACGGAGATAATTGTTCTATCAATAATGCCTGAGATTTAGCTATCTGATGAGAGGACACCTAGTTGTTAATAGGATATTTCGCTTGTGCGTGAGATCAGGTTAATAGTTCTTTTTTGGGACTCCTCGATTCTTCCTTAAGGGGTACGTGGGTTCAGGAGGTGTATCATACACACCAGGTGTGTTTGAAATATCCTGCAAAAATAAACCGTTAGAAGAAATGGGGTTTGCGGTTTCTAGGGATTATTCTCCTGGACTCTCTGTGGTAATGATAGTTGGGGAAGTCGTAGTATAATGGTCTTCAAGAGTTCCAACTTCAAGTTTTCCTTCCATGAATGTGCTATCATCTGCAATCCCTGGTTCCATATTATCATCTCCTAATTCAATTAATCCATCAACTTTAATCTCATTGTTTGGAGAATTATGCGTTTCACCTAATTGACCACTTTCGCGGTTATATTCATGCATGTTCTCTTCTTCTAAGTTAGATGAATTCTCCCCCAGAAGAGAACTCTCACTTTCGAAGAAGGGAACGTTTTCATGGAATATAACATCTCGAGTAACGTACATTTTCTTCTCCTTAGTATCATAATATCGATAACCCTTTTTAAAAAAGCAATGTACCCCAATAAAATGCATCAAGTAGCTCTATGTTCCAGTTTATCCAGGTCTTGATGTACATAGGTCGTGCATCTGAATACTCTTGGCTCCAGATTAATGTTTCATGAGATTGTTACCAGTTCATGAAGTGTTTGGATCAGGGTTTTGAACTCAATGACTTGAGATGGGTTCTGTTCATGAGATAAGATGACGATTGAACTACCTTTCCCCAGTATTTACGTGAGACATTCAAACAAGGATGCCCGAACAATCTCTAAAAGTTTTCATTTCCTTGTTTCTGTTAATCCATTTTGCTAGGGTTACCCGCACATGAGGTTTAGTGTCGTATGGAGTTACGTTTGTAGAATTTTTCCATCTCGTGAATGACATGTTCACTCCCTTTATCACATTGTAAAACTTGGATGTTACACTTGTATTATGATTTAATCATTCGGTACAGCTGCTAAAACACTGAACATGGATCCCCTTTGTGTTTAAGGAGGGAAATCCAAATTATACATGTGCATTCATCCATAATAACGAGCACCACTTGGTGTAGAAATTTGAGCTAGTCCACATACATCTGAGTGAATAGTCATAAAAGGAATCAAACTTTTAGTATCACTTGGGGAATACAATGTTTTATGGATTTTGGCCATTTCACAAACACCAATTATAATCATAGTCTACGATACCATAACCATGCCAACTTTTTATTCCCTTGAGCTATCCGAGTATTGAGGGCATCTCCATACTTATGGTCTAAAGATAATACAACTTTCCCCGCCTAGTATCATAGCCAAGAATTTTCTGATTCTTGATGTCCTGGAACATACACTAATCAAGGCGCAGAAAGTAGCTGAACATTTCATTTTTTAAAATTTCTGATATACATAACATTTTTTAAGGCAAAGAGGGGACACCTAGAACTTTATTTAGATTTATGGAATTGGATACTTGGACCGGTCCTTCACAAGTTACACGGGGAGGTAAGGGTCAGATTGGTACTCGAAGTTGCATAAAAAGGGTCAAATAAGTCCTTACTGTCCAGTCGTCGCCATTTGAGGCGGTTCCCGATGGAATTCTTTGATGAAATTTTTTGAGCATCTTATTCATTAAGTCTAGTTTACTCATACCAAATTTCAGCTAACACTTCAATCGGGAAGTCATTCAGATGAATTCTTGAAGATAACTGCACTTTTATTTGCGTAGATATCTTCAATAATTCATTTGAATGCCTTCCCGGTTGAATTTTTAGCTGAAATTTGGTATGAGTAAACTAGACTTGATGAATAAAATGCTGAAACAATTTCGTCAAAAAATTCCACCGGGAACCACCCCAAATGACGACGGCCAGACAGAGCCTCCTATATAAGGACTTATTTGACTCTTTTATGCAACTTCGAGTACCAATCTGACCCTTGCCTCGTTACACGGGTAGTGTCACCATTAGCAGTAAGAATCTTACATAATTTTGGAGCGCATATAGATATAAGTTTACTTGGATCATTTGTCATATGATCAGTTGCTCCTATGTCAATGATCCAACTATTATTTTTAATACAGTTAGTTTTAAACATACCAGAGTTGTTTTCTTTTTCAGCATGTGTAGCAACAGAAGCGGATAGTTCATCTTTCATTGAAGTAGCCACTTTGGCGTGGCTTAGTTTCCTTCATAGCCTCTTCAAAAAATCCAACCACCCAGATATTCGATGATTTCATAACACCATTGTTTAGATTGTCCATCTTCTCCACAGTGGGTACACGTAAGAGGGCCTCCCTTACTATCAATATTCTTCCCAATATGAGATTTGTTCCGGATGGCTAGATGAACCATCCCATCTTTTCTACCTTCGGATCCTTCATTTTGTTTCTCTGATTTTGATCCTTCCGAACATATGCATAATATGACTCAAGGTCAAATGGTGAATCTTTTCTCAAAATCTCACTTCTGACATGATTGAATTCAGGATCAAGTCCTGCAAGGTAGTTGTGGACACAAAGACGAGCTAGTGTGTTATGAAGGGGTACAACTTGCATAACACTTTCTTCTTGAGTTGTGAGGCGGGTATTGATATCCTAAAATATACTAATGAGTTCATTGTAATAAGTGGAGAGAGATATACCATATATTTTGGCGAATATTGAAAGATCTTCGATTCTGTTCAAACATATGCGTTTTGTCAGATCCATCATAAAAGGTTTTTCCGTCAGCCTCCCATATTTCTTTCGCCATTTGGGTCGGATGAACCGTTGAACCAATGGTGAACTCATTTAATCAATAAGCTAACTCTTGACAAGGTTGTGTTTGATTAACCAGTTTTCAAGTTGTTTTCATTAGTCGGTTTTGGGTTCTTGCCGGTGAGGAATCCATATTTGTTACATGCTTGGATGCGCATCTCCATCAGTTGTGACCACAATGAGTATTTCGAATAAACCAAGATGATTCCGGCGGGAAAAGGAGCATCTTGTATGGTGCGGATGACAACTTGAGAATCCTTGTCCCCCATGATATCAAATTGATTTGATTCAAAAAAGAAAAAAGAACTTTGTATTCTACATAAGGTGCTACTCCGATACCATGTAGTTCAGAGTTATATTTTTCTTCGTATATCATTCCCACAATTGAAGAGTGTACATATACATGAAGGTACAACAGTTCATATGGAAACAAAATATTTACTAATAACTAATTAGCCTCTATCTAAAGAGTGTACACCACTTTTAGAAGGGAATTAAATAAAGAATTCTAGTAAATCGGCTCTTTTTAACACATATTTTTTCCAACAAAGAAATTTGACACTAATTTTGGCACAAATAAAAAAAGAACGTAAGACAAGTAAAATAAGACGTGATGATAGTTTATCTTCTTGATTTAATTCATATGATTATTTATTTGCAGGGAATTTGGCTGGGGATGCTTGGAGGAACAACCATGCAGACCATTATCTTGTTGTGGGTCACGTTACGCACTAATTGGGATTTAGAGGTATAGTTTTGTTTTTTGAATGAATTTGGAGGTATAGTACAATATAGACAACTGATATGTGTAATTGGTTTTATCCCTGAACAATAATAAGACGTAACAAGTTTGCTAAGAAAATTAAATATTCAATTGAATTGTGAACATTTGCTCAAAGGTTCGAATATTTTCCTAAATACATACCTAAATTGTTTTGAAGTATCTTTTTTGCATCACAATTTTGAAATTGAGAATCTTTTTAACTTTATTTTCTGTTAGGTTGAAGCAGCCAAAACCCGATTGAACAAGTGGCAAGATAAGGGCGGGATTGTTGAATGATTAACAGACGGATTTGTAAGTGAGGTAAGAGTCAATTGGTTCTCGAAATTGCATAAAAAGGGTCAAATAAGTTCTTACTGTCCGGCCGTCGCCATTAAGGGAGGTTTCCGGTGAAACTTTTTGATGAAATTTTTTGAGCATCTTATTCATTAAGTCTAGTTTGCTCATACCAAATTTCAGCTAAAACTTCAATAGGGAAGGCATTCAAATGAAGTCTTGAAGGTAAATGCGCTTTTAATTGCACAGTTATCTTCAAGACTTCATTTGAATGCCTTCCCGATTGAAGTTTTAGCTGAAATTTGGTATGAGTAAACTAGACTTAATGAATAAGATGCTCAAAAAATGTGATCAAAAAATTTCTCCAGGAACCACCCCGAATGACAATGGCCGGACCAAGCCTCCTATATAAGGACTTATTTGACCCTTTTTATGCAACTTCGAAGACCAATCTGACCCTTACCTCATTTGTAAATGTTCACTCTTTCCATAATAAGGGTAGTGACACTACTACATTTAGAAGCCTTTTGTAACGGTCAATTTCGTTACTATTGGTCAATAACTCCGTTACATTTTCCTAAATGTAACAGTTTTGTGTCATTACATTCGCTTGTGTTGCCTTTTCTCGAATGTAACACTATGTAACGATTTTTAGAACCAAATGTAATGGTCTTCTTAACCAACCGAAAGTGTTCCCACAAATTGAGTGCATTTGTAACGGTCCTTAACCAACCCAAATGTAACACCTGCGGAACATTATTAGCTAACTCATGTCATATTTCATTATTATCTAATGTTAACTAATAGTAGTACATAGTATAAAATATATTGCGTACATAATAATACAGTATCAAAGACAAATCACCAAATTTGAGTGTCATTTATCAAATTTTATTCAAAATAAAGACATGATACAATAAAAATAGGGGGGACATGTCGTTGATGGTCTCAGATTTCTGCAGACTAACACACAGCTAGATGGTATTCATCGATAAACAGAGAGAAAGAAGATTTGATAAAAATAGAGCAATATCGAGAATAGAGAAATTCTTCTTCTATTTTATCGAGAACTGTTTTGACAGCGTAAGGCTAGAGATTAGAATAATCGACTACTGTACCTGTGCAGGACGCGCATATTTATAGGCACTGCACAGGTTTTCGAATTAAGTTACCTAGGAGTTTGGGCCTAAAGCCTTTTTGGGCCTCATTCCTTTACTCCTATTTATTACATAATAGAACTAATACCGTAAATGGTATATCTATTCTAATTTATTTAAACAAGACATTACAAACAAACTTGACTCACAATAAAAGTTCTAACAATCTCCCCCTTTGTGATCAAGTGCCGTCTTGCTGGGTATCTTCACCTGAGCTTTGAAGTAGTGTTTGCGTAGTTTCAGCGCATGCTCATAGTTTCTGAGAGAATTCCTTCTTTCAAATTGTTTCTCAATTGCTTTCAGAATGTTGTCGATTCCGTTTGCCTCTTTTAGTTCAGCATCCGTTGCAGCTGCATACTTTTGCTGTCTTTCTTCAAATTCTTTCCTGATTGGTTGCTACTTTTCTTTCACAATCTTCAATGTTCCATCACAGTACTTGTTTAACTCATCGACGAACATCATACGTCTCTCACCATTATGGTTCGAATAGATTAGAGTAATTGGACTGTCAAAGATGTAGTATGCAGGAAAATCTTCAAGTTCTGGTCCGTATAACTTTGGTCTTGAGAGATTCGTCTTTGGCAGATTTGACTCAAGAGCCATCTGAAGATCATGAGAGGCATAGAATTTGATTTGTCTGACCATAAAGCGCTTGAGTGAATCAAAGCCATCTTGTGTAATCTTGTCACGAGTCCCGGGAAGTTCTTGGAATGCAAGATACATCTGATAGATGTCATCCATCTTTAGCATGTAGAGATCATTTTCTTTGCAAGTGAATTCCGTGCCGTCAGAGCGTTGTAGATGATAAACAAAGAGTTTGATATCTTGGATGTCTATCTCGTACACATTGAGGATGCTCCAAATTGGGTCCTTTGCAGTTTGGAGTTCATGTGACCATACCTCTCTCTGTTTCCCCATGTAACGATGACTTAGCAAGAATAGTTGTTCGCCCTTGTTATTTCCTCATAGATGGTTGAGACCGCGGATTTTCAATTCGTCCAGTTCCTTGATTTTGTCCTCTCTGCGCCAGATATTCTTTCTGAATTCCTCTTGGAAGGGAGCATTGATGTTGATGTTCTCCCAGGGCTTTTCGTTTCTGGGTATTTGAGCCGCTGTTTGTCTGATGATAGATTCAAGCTTCTTGGGGGGGTGTCTCATAGTTGTCTCCCTCCTTGAGTTCATCTGGTTCAAGTAAAATCACATCAGCAGCACAGATAGCTAGGAGCTCCCTAAGGTATGCTCTTCGCTGTAAGTCGTCAATGTCTGTCCATAGCTGAGACCATTTGTTGTGCACAAGTATGTTTTCAAGTTCATCGTGCATCTTGTCATTGTCGTCGCTAGAGGGAACTTGCTACTATGTCGGAGGCGATCTGTCGTGTGTAGCACCGGGATCACAAGGATTGCCCGTTGTCATCAGCTTTGAACTAGGTTCTAGCTGATGGCCTGATACAAATGATGTACTCGAGGTAACAAGATTAGGACTTCCATTCCGTCCTTGGTCAATATCTATAGGAGATGCACCTCAGAATGTTTTGTCTAGCTCGACCATGCTAGAAAGAGAGGCTAAGGATTTGTTTTGGCTGGCTGAAGTAGTGGGTTGCTGATTGGTAGAGGTGGAGGGTTGATTTGGCAACAGAGGTTGGCTTGTAGAAGCAACATCCTCAAGTATCCGCTGGCGCTTGTTCTCCCACTCATGAGAATCCGAATCATCAGGATCCTCATGTGAACGTTTAGTGCCACAGAGACTCTCACGGCATGTGCTCTGAATATCCAGAGTTAGGAGCAGGGCCTTTTGAAATGAGGTACGGTTGCCTTCATCCGTCTCTAGGATACGATCGAAGATCTCAGCTACGAGGTCATCGAAGGGCACGGTTCTGAGATTGGGTTTGGTCGTTGTAGGGGAGGATACTAGTTCTGTATCATGGGTTCCCCTTGAGGTGGATGGTTGTTGGTTTCCTAGGGTTAATGGTTGGGAAGTTGGGATTGAAATAGTTGGAGGCCGAGTGGTTTGGGGTTCGGTTGGTATATCCTGAGCAGCCGGGGTTTGTCCAGAGCCTTGTGCACTAGTGGTTATTGCTTCGTGCACCCATGGTTTAATGGCTGACTCTAGATAGCTGTTCAGGTATACTAGAAGGTCTTCAGGGATAGTGGTTCCAGTTAGAGGGGTTGTAACTGTTGTCACAACATAAGTGAAGACAACTGATGTAACACTTGAGATTTAATATAAATGGATTAATAGTACTACTCATACCAACAGAGGTGCATCTTCTTTTAAGAGAGCTCATCACTCAAGAACTGCAAAGTTAAGCGTGCTTGCACGGGAGTAGTCCTGGGATGGGTGACCCCCTGAGAAGTTTCTCAGGGCGCGCATGAGTGATGACAAAGTGCGCGGTAAATGCTCGTGGTGGTTTGTGAGGACAGTACTAGAGGTCTGAAGGGTGTGTATGAGTAACTACCTCGGATCATGCGGGACCGGAGTGTTACAAATGGTATTAGAGCAACCCTGCGACAGTGTGCTGATCCGTTGGATATCGGGCAGACATTTAGCAGGGGAAAAGATTCTGGAGTTTGATTGAGGTTGGTTTAAGGGCGCAACGAGGACGTTGCGATCCTAAGTGAGGGTGATTGTAACACTTGAGATTTAAGCAGTGTTTGGGTTTGCTTAAAAAAAGCGTTTTTCAGCTTTTGGCTTAAAAAAAGTTGAAAAGAGTGTTTTCAAATGACAGCTTCTGCTTAAATTAATCACTTAAAAGCTAAAAGCTGGAAGCAGGTAGAAGGGTGCTTTAAACTGCTTCTCACTTTTGCTATTACACAAAAAGTACTTATTTTACCAAACACTACCAACTTTTACTTTTCTAGAATCACTTTTTTCTCAAACACTACCAACTTTTACTATTAATCACTTTTCCCAAATCATTTTAAAAAATCACTTTTCTAAAGTTGAAGCAATTGCAAACACTCCCTTAATATAAATGGATTAATAGTACTACTCATACCAACAGAGGTGTATCTCCTTTTAAGGGAGCTCATCACCCAAGAACTCCAAAGTTAAGCGTGTTTGCACGGGAGTAGTTCTGGGATGGGTGACCCCCTGGGAAGTTTCTCAGGGCGCGCATGAGTGAGGACAAAGTGCGCGGTAAATGCTCGTGGTGGTTTGTAAGGACAATACTAGAGGTCTGAAGGGTGTGTATGAGTAACTACCTCGGATCCTGCGGGACCGGGGTGTTACAACTGATGTGTGGCCTGCGTTTAATTATGGAATCATTGTTGGCGTAGCAGGACTTCCGACCATCATTATTTGTACTCCAGTCGTTGCGTTCAGGGTGAGTGCACCTGTATGTGCTCTGAATAGTGTAGGTGTCCTAGAGAAATTAGAAAATGTGGGTATAGTGACACCTAGACTCGATGTGATAGAACGAATGGGGGGAGTGGTCCGGGGCTGTTGACCACTAAGTCTCTCGACTGATTTGGAAGGAACCAGCTAGGTCGGTGTAAGTTCCCCTTGAGTTGTTGAAACTCCAGCCGGTTGGGAGGCTGGAGAGTGGATGGGAGATGGTTGTGCATGCGCAGTTGAACCGGATGCTGCGACTTCTACTCGGGAACTGACAAGGTCAGCTCCTGCACCTAGGGGCGTGGTTCGGTCTATTTGTAGGAAGGTGTCACAGTCATCGTATAGCTCTAGCTCCTCCTCCACTGAGCTCTTCTTTCTCAGCCTCTTCTTAGGCTTGGATGATGCAGATTTGTCATTTCCTTGCTTGGAGCGCTGCTCACTGATAATGATACCTTTGAGAGGTCGGTGTGAGTGAGCAGCCTCTTCGTTGTCCGATGAGGTGTCTGAGTCGATCGCAATGGCCCTCTTTTCGGCTCTTTTTCTATACAGTCGATTGCAATGGCCTTGTTTCCGGCTCTTTTTCTGTTGCTGATCAGGACTCCTTCCATGTCATCATCATCATCATCATCTGCATCATCATCATCATCGTTCCTCTTGGCCATGCTATCAGAGGCCTCACCACCAGCCTTATTTGAAGGGGCCTGGCTTGATGGTTCATCGGCAGTGTCCTCAGCATTGGTAGGGTGGCCCTCAGCAGTCTGGGTCCTCTCGGAAGAGTTAACAGACTGATCATCATCAGGCCGGACTGCCACTGGTTTCTGTGGCTTGGGGGCACTCTTCTTTTTCTTACCCTCACCTTCACTCGGCTTAGCCCCTTGGGAAGGTCTAGCTGGGTTTTGCTGAACCATTGGAACTGTTCTCTTCAGCGACTCTTTGTAGTTGGTGACTGCCTTATCCTTCGGGTTTGCTAGATTAAGCAGCGAGTCCGGGATAGGCCGTGCTTCAGCTTTGTTGCTGTCTCTTTGAAAATACCGCAGTTTAGGAGCGGTAAACTGATTATTTCCCTTACGCTTTGGGATTGTCGGGTGGCATCCATAATATTGTGGATGATCAGTGCTAGCCACCGAGCGTAAGGGATTGTGTTTCCCTTGTTGTTCTCCTTCATCTTTACCTGATCCATCAGCTCTGTCCAGAAGAGCTGGGCCATGTCGTACTGCTTGTCAAATGCGATCCCGTGGAAGATTTGTAGGATCTGTTTGCTGCATTTGTCCTGTCCGGTGTGCTTAGGAGATAA